CCTCCCACTCTGAAGTTGTAAGGGGGATAGTTGGGTCAAGCATTGTAGTCAGAACATCAACAAAAGGCACTCCAGCAACAGCAGCCTTGAACAAATCAGGCCTCATATTAAGAACAGCACCAATAAGCAATCCCCCTGCACTCCTTCCATCAATGCATAATCTTTCTTTGGAGCAATATTTCTTTTCTATCAAATACTCAGCACAAGCAATAAAATCTGTAAACGTATTTTTCTTCTTCAGCAACTTTCCATTCTCGTACCACTGCCTCCCCATTTCACCACCCCCACGAATATGAGCTATAGCATATATAAAACCCCTATCCAGCAAAGACAGCCTTGAAGCTTGAAAGCTGGCATCTATACAGATCTATTGACATAATAAAACTCTTGAGTCACTGAGAGAGAAATGAAAACAAGCAACGAACAAAATAAGCCCTCTTCCAAATGGCTAAAAGGATATTGCCTCCTACAGTATTTTCAATTGTGAGGGCCACTGACTATGTCCAACATACTTGAACAATTTTACCAAATTGTGATTAGAATTAGCCATCATAGGCCAGAAACAAAATTCTATATTTTAATTACTAATCCAACTGGATGATACATAATGCATTAAACAGACAACCTATAAGGTAATAACAAGAAAACTTTCTTAAGATGTCAATTGATTCAGATATTGGAAAAGGAATATCCGCAGAGCAGTAACGTATCAAAAGCACAAAAGTTTCTTTTTTGATGGCTACATGTTTAAAAATGGATCTGGTCATATATTTTTAAGGGCTTCAGATTTCAGTGCTGTACCTTCTAATTGTCCAATTCAAAGCATCTCGCAAAATTTTCTACAAGAAATAAGCTTTTCAGTGTAATCATACGAATTCTTCTGTTACCTCATAAGAGCCATAGCCGTAGAGTAGCAATGGATCATATCCATCAAGTTTTACAATATCCTTCCTATAAACAATTGATATTGGAATCTGAGTACCATCTAGAGCACTAGCCCACTTCCTTTCTGTAACATAATCTGATGCTTCAAAACCTCCCAAAACCTGAGAAACATAAATGACAACACCACCTATCACAAATACACATACACAGGAACCCAAGGCGAGGTAGAGATGGTAAATGGAATAACCGCAAAGCTTACTTTCAAAAAAGTAAAAATTAAATCATTACTATTGCAACAATAAACATGTACATGACAAGAGAGTTAAAAGGACAAGTATACTAAGGGTTAGGCTCCTAAAATTTAGTATTTGAAGTAATAATAAATACAACTTACTGTTTCAATCTTCTTCAAAACAGAAACACCTGTCTTCATATCATAATCGTACACAGAGGGAGGTGTTTTCATGGAGCTATAAGAAAATCGTAAGATGCCGGAAGAAAATTCTGATTCTGATGGATCCACAGAGTATGTGGGATCCAAAAATTTAACAGCTTGACCACCATGAAGGGTTTTAAGTGGTTGTCCAACATCTGGAAGTTGATAGATAGTGACTTTTGGTAGACCCTCTTCACGCTCATATACAACAAGGTGATCACTAAAAAGATGTATATCCTGAATTTTCACACTGAAGAAATTTCTAAATTAGTATGCCTAAACTAACAAAGAAAACATGCCTGCTAAGAATAGTGAAGGTAAAAAAATATCAGGCCCTGAGAAAAAGTTATAGAAAAGTACGCAAATCCATACACAACAATTGGACCAGGTGGCATGGAGTAGTGAACAACACATCTAACTCATTCCATTGTCAGTTCTCTCTTATTCACAGTTAAGACGGTGCATATGTGAGAAAAAAAGCTAGTGAATGGCTCAAGGAAAATTTCCAGTTTCATTTCTGGAAAATGCACTGCAAATCACATGTCGATATATAATTTTTTAATTATCTATATACTTAATTTCACCCGGGAAAATTAGACGTAATATTGAGAAAACATAAATCACGTGCGTGCATGATTTTAAAAATTAAAAAAGACAATCCATTCATGAACATTATTAAGGTCCTGCATGCGGAGTAAGGATATAAAAATTTAGTTATCACCTTTCCCTGTGTGGAAGAAGAACTGTAGTTTCAGATGTATTTTCCAATGGACAAGCAATTACTTCAGAATTAAAAAACTGGTCACTCCTCCTCTTTATAAAAAAATGATTTCCTCGATGGCTAACAAATGTATCAATGCCATCTAGGCGAGGTGTCAGAACCATAAGCCCATCTTCAGGCTTTGAATGATCAAGGTAAAAGTTGAATCTTGTAGTTTTACTTTCGGATGCAACAAACAAGAACTTTTTGCTCTCAGAAGCTTGAAGAGCAATTGAAAACATATCATCCTGTTCATGATAGAGGCAGGAGTCACTTGACCGTTCTGTCCCCAACTTATGTAACCATGCCTATTAAAGAGAAAGCAGGATGTCAGACTAAGCAGTTTACTCACACAAATAAGCAATGGAACAGAATGTATGCACTAATTTTTCCTCCGTGAGGCTGTGAGCCAGACAGGGTTCAAGGTATGACCTCTTGGCTCACTGCATCTGCAGTAAGACAACCAACAAGAAAACAGAATCGAATTCTACAGAGATATAGGAGGATACATCCACGTTATATTCAGCACTTATCAAGATAAACAATGTCATAAAATGAATTCTCATGGAAAAGCATGGGAATGTGGTCATAGGAGACAATATTGAAACAAAATATCAATGTAAATTATAACAGGTAAACACAGCAGGCAAGCCTCCCAGATAGGATATACACAACTGGGGTAAGTTGCTCAGTTCTAAATTTCACCGAAACATGAAAAAATTTCAAAATTCAGAAATTGGCTAAATATTTTATCTGGCATGCCAGTCCTTGAGTAATGACACCTCAAAAATCTACCCACAATTATGTTGCAGAACAATTGAAAAAGCAAGTTAAGAATGTGTGTGAAACATAGCATGACATGAGGAAACAGAGGGCTTAAAGCAGCAGTATCAAACCTTGTCAGGGCGGAGGGTCTCGTCCATTGTAATGTAAACTAATGCCTCATTGCCGGCCCATTCAAGATAGGATGTTGTACCAACAAGAGGCAGACCCACAGGAGCACCTGTCTCGGCATCAATGACATAAACTGTATAGATTTCATTGCCTTTGGTGTCTTCTGCATATGCCACCAAATTGTTGTTTGGGCTAACCTGAAGAAGGATTAAGAAATGAACATGAAAACACTCCATAAACTGTATTGAGATCGTCATCATATAAACACACTGTCATGTTGTTGTATATTGGAGTAGGTAGATACCTTAAAAGCAGCAATGCTATAATAGGCATGATTTTTAGCCATAACATTCTCATCCAAGATTACATGCTCCGGAGGAGCATCAGGTCCGGTGGGCATGGTATCATACACAGATACTGGGGGGTCCGCATCACCCTCGCTGCTTTTGGTTTTGGGTATTAAGCGGCGACAATGCTGAACGTACTCCATACCTTTGAGAGTCCTTTGATAGTAATAGTAGGGGCCTTTTCGTTCAGGTGCAGATACATCATCCTCCTTGATCCTTCCCCTAATCTCAGAGTAGAGTTGATCTTCGAATTTCTTATTTCCTAATGTAAGCCAATTAAATTTTAAATTAAAATGGAGAATTGTAGTTATAGTTGAGAAACAAGCAATTAGAGAAGAAACGACAAATTGCATCTGCTAGTTAAGTTTAAAGGTGTGCTGCTGAATGAATTGAATATCAAATCAAAAATTGAAAATAATCAAATAAAGAAGGAAAAATGCTGGATGCGATAGGGGAAAGGCAAGCAGTGCAATACTAGTTTAGTTGATACCAGACATGAGGAATTGAGTGTAATCGTTTTCTTGTTGAAGGTAAGAGAGGACTTGGGGGTCGGAGCGAGAGTCGTCGCGGAGCCAATAGTAGTTATCCACTCTGACGTCGCCGAACATCTCCATCTTATGCTCCACCTTCTTCGCCACCGGAGGCCGCTGCATCTTACTCTCACTCATCCTCACTCTTGATGTGGGTTCTGATGACGTGGACGCTCGGACGGAGAAACCTAGAGAGGAACCGGCGCCACCACCACACGACGACAATACGACCACTGGAAGGTAGACAAGCGGAAGTAGGTTTCCTCTGCGCCACTGCCACTGCCACTGCTTATGCATTCTCATTCCCATTCCCATCTTTCCTATATATATTTTTCTCGACTAAGATTTTTTTTTTTTTTTTTCACACCTTTTTAGTAAACTAATTATTATCTACTTCTGCCCAATATTTCACAAATTCTCATAAACTCACAAAAAAATGTAGGTATAATAATGCAGACATTGAATTTGCAATTGTTGTTGTTGTTGTGTGCAATAATGCATAGCAATTTGCAAGATCTTTTGATTTGTTTTGAGTTTGATTTTTCAGCACACGTTGAATTTACAAAACAAGAAAATAAAAGAGAAAGCTGGGCCTCAAATTCGTCTCCTCCTCAATTAATTGATTTGGTGATTAAATGTTATTCATTGTAGAGGTTCACGTCCTCGTTGAGTTTACATCAAGCTGGATGACCCATACTTTTCATGCGAAAAAAAATCTAACCAAAATCAACTACAGACTAAAGAGCCCTTTTTTTTCAGTTTTTATTTTTTTGTTTTTAAACTACAAATTTATTTAATAACAAATTTCAATTTTAATAAAAGAAATAAAAACTAATAACTACTTTCTTAAATTTTCAATTTTTTTCCGACCTAAAAGTAATTACCAAAAATTAAAAACGAAATAATTATCAACCGCCTCTTAAGAACATATCAGCGCTTTCAATTTGGCAGATTATTTATATCATTTCAAAAGCAGAGCTCAAAAGTGAACAAAACTGTCGAATGTGAATTTTCATTCGTCAAAGCATAACGGTTAAAATGTGTATCCATTCCTAGAAACAAAAATGTAGCTGCTAGAGAATTATTTATTAAAAGACTACTTCATCCTCCAGAGGAAATTCACGTCAAGAATAAATGTAAGATGCGAATTGAAACGGGGCAAACATAGGCATCATAAATATTACATTAACAAAAAACTAGTTGTAATTTGCACATTTCTGCATAATACATTAGACATGAATTGCAAAACAGGGCAGACAAGAAACATAACGAAATGTATCGGGCATGGATTAAGAATTGAATAACAATTTGCGACCTAATAAGTAATACACAACCCATGAACCTAAAATAGTGTGGCTGCCAGACAGACCAGATGGAAAACCTACAGTCAAGCAGAAAGGAGATCCACCGCACAGCAACTGACCGACATACTCAAGATTCTTCTCTGTTCCAGTACTCTCAACACCTATACCAAGACTTAAAATGATTATACAAATGATGCAGGTAATCACTCCAAACGATCATAAGAAATAAGGTACTCCTGTCCTCGGTCCTCTCATCTGGTTGTTCTCCTCTGTTTCAGTGAAGAACTTCACCTCCCTCTCCTGTTTCAAACGACAGAACACCAACCATCGTGCACGCAATGGTTTTAAATTCATGTCCAGCCATAAATTCTACTTGATGTAAAAAAATAAAAAAAATAAAAACTAAAAACCGTTATTTTCAGGTGCACGCAACAGCAATTAGACATGGACAGACCCATTATGTTGGTAAATGGGTTTTAATGGGTTATGGACCATTATTTGTCCTTTAGTTGGTGGGTTATAGACCATTTTTTGGCCCAATGCCCATCCCTAGTAACTTACTGATTGCACTTTCCAACAAATATTACAAATAATCAAAAAGCGAAAAACTTTGAGACCAAAATGAAGAGAGCCATATAGCACAACTAATACAATATGCAATAAATGTCTAAAAAGTAGGCCCTCAAAACTAACATGCCCTTAGTTTCAAGCTGAATATTGGATATTAAAAACTAATCTTCACTCCTCTCCATCACCAAAACAAAAAGCAGCATGGTGCATGGCTTAGAGTTATTTTCATGCCAGAATAACATGAATATGGACTTTTTATTTTTACTTTTAGAACTTGGACATAACTTATAAATATGTTTGACTGTGAGTTTATAACCTCGCCAAAGTAGGCATTGATATCCCGGGCCAAGTATGGCTACTTCAAAAGTTCATATGTTCAATGTCTAAAAGTTGAGAGATTCTAGAAAATGGCAAATGTCAGCTCTTGGATGTTGGAAAGTCTCTAAGAACCAAGTGTTTCAGACACTAGAAACAATCAATTTAATTATGCGATGCATATAGTTAAGCTGTGAAGGTGACAGAAAGATACCCTAAGTACACATATCATAAAAGTCTGAATCTAAAAGTTTCCATTAAGAAAAAGGCCGTAGGCAAGCCAGTAATCTTTACCATATTGTCATTAAAACTCAAGATAGAAGCCACATTCCCACAGCGATAACAGTAATTTGGTGCAGACCAGACCTGCAAAATTCAATAACCTAACTATTCAATAAAACTTCTACAATATTACGAAAAAAAAAAATCAACAAAAGAGGTTTGGCATCTCACAGTTACAAGGCCTTTATCTTGAAACATGTACTTAAGACCTTCTTGAACAAGTTGGTGTGCTCGACAAACCAGATCTAGATTATTTATGTGGTTGAACTGCAGAAAACAAAATTCTTAAGCTTTAGCATGTGTGTGATCTGCGTGCGCATGCGCACGTGTGTGCGCGAGAGAGAGAGAGAGAGAGAGAGCAAGCAGGGAGAATCCTACTTAATTAGTAAGATCTTAATACCTCAGAAGTGACTCTGGATCCAAACAGCCAACCTGCTCCACGTGGACTTACTGCCCATGTTTCAATATCTTCAGGATCGCTCCACATGAGATCACAAAATGGCCCCTCATGTGGAATTTCACAATTTCGCTCAATGACCCGTATCTGTTAAAGGAAAAGGTATGTACGGTGATGATGATGATGATGATTCATCCAAATGGAAAACCAAAAATAAACAGAACTTCTTTGAAAGCAAGGTCGTAGACATGTAGTTCACGCATGAAAAATATAAATGCTTATATATATGATATGAACAAAAATAATACAAAAAAAAATTACCTGATCAATTGTTCGGATGTCAGGAGAAAGTCCACCATGGACACATAACACCTGGGAAGACAAACCACATAAACATGTTTACTATCAAAAAGTACGCAATCAAAGTCACAAATAGTAATATGCAGAGAGACAGAGATAAGAGATATATGATACTAACACATACATATATATACATAGACAAGAGGAGGGGGAGAGGGAGAGAAGGTTACAGTTCCATCTATAATTGCTGATAGTGTCAGATAGTCAAAAACATCTGTACAATACCGCCAGGCATTAGCATTTCCATACTTCCTCTGGCATTCGTCATAAAAGCCATATACCTAGCAGAGAAAAACTTTAATTGATAAGGATTCAACCGACAATGCCAGCAACAAAACTCCATGCACAGACAGTTAAATAAATACTGCTATGGCAGTAACCTCCTAATCAGGTCCCTCTACTGAACATTAGGATCTAAATTATACATATGCACCTGGACCTCCTATATATTCTGGGAATAACAAAAATGGAAACACTAATATCTCGGATTTCTTACTCAGATTCATGCAATTCATTTATCAACTCAACCTTTAGCACACAACTCTTGCAATCGACTCCATTATATTAAGCCCCCATTACATGCCAAACCAACAAGTCTATTACACTGCAATATTTGAGTATGGTCGGCACAAAAAGTGCTCTAAAGTACCTCTGAATACACTGAACTGTAATTTCATTCCAGCCACCAACAGCTTTAACACAATAATATTCAAAAGAACAAAATGCAAACAAATAAAAACAGCATTGAAACCCTTGCTCCCAATTTTGGTATTCAACAAAACACTAGAGGGTGTCGTTAATAATTGTCTCTTCCAAAACACTATACAATCTATATAATATCATACCTGAGTAAGTTGCCTGCTTTCATGATTACCACGCAAAAGGGTAATATTAGCTGGATATCTATAGCCACAAGTAAAAGAAGACTACATTAGCTACGAGAAGAAAAAAATAAACATCTCATAAAAATTGAGATTGTCAATGAAGAGAAGTTGAAAGTTAAAGCAATCTCGTATTCCATTCATCATCTCCTAATGTAGATAATTATTAAGAGCTCGTTTGGATGTGCTTTTAAAATGATTGAAAGTGCTTTTGGTGAAAATGTTTTAGAACCAATCCTTAGTAAAAATGCAAGTAAATCCTGGAAGTGTTTTTTCTAGAAGAAGCACATAATTGGTGCTTCTTGCAAAAAGCACTTTAAGTGCTTTTGGAACCCAAAAATATTTTCTCTAAAAGCACTTTCAGTCATTTTAACAGCACATCCAAACGGGCCCTAAAGCTGTCTAATTTTTATAAGAACAAAACAACAGTAAAAAGAACGCTTCCAAAACTCTTAAGAAGACAAAGATCTAGAAAGAAATGGACCATGAACCTAAAAACATAAGCAAAGAAACAGGAACCATTAATAAAGAGCTGCATTCTGATTTAAAAAATAAAAAAATAAGTAACGCAAAAGAAAAGCCATCCCTAAACTCTTAAGAGATCAAAACCCATACAGATGTTTAGAAGCAAACCCTCTCCCCCAACTAATCCACATCATCACCCACACATTGTCAAATATCCTTCTATTCTTCTCCCCCCAAATTACCCAAAAAACAGCCATCACCGCACATCTTCTCAGACCTATACCCTTCTTCCTCCCACCAAAGAAGCAAGATGATAACCCGAGAGAGAGAGAAGAGAGAAGAGAGGAGAGAGAGGAGAAAGAGGAGAGATTAGAAAGAAAAGAAAAGAGAGAGAATTAAAAAGGTAGAATGCATACAACAATTTAGCCTTTCATAACCAAACAGACCAACATTTCAGAGTGGGTACCTTGGTGCAATGCACCCAACTGTAAACTCCAAATTGTATTCGTTCTACCGGTTAAATTTATAAAACATAATCCCGTAAGTGATAGCTTCCAAGACTCTTTCTTATTACTGAAATTATCCACTTAGTACTGACCCAAATGATAACTAAACCATACATGGCATATCATAGGGCTGCAATACACATCAAAGGCATAATGATATGTTGCACAAGCACCAAACGGTAAGTAGTGTGCATGACTGCAAATACTAATTTGAAAAGTAAAGACCTCATTATTACAACACATTCTTCCAAACAAAAGTCTAAAATATTTGTACCTCGCCTTAAGAAGCAAAAGGATAGTGAAAACTTCAAGGCTATTGTATCCTCGATCAACAAAATCGCCCTGCAAACAAGCTAGGAATATTAAACACCACCAGAAGACAACCAAACAATATTTTTAAGATGACGTGCAGAGATTTTATCAAATTTAATAACAAAAAAATACAAATCATACCATAAATATGTAATTTGTCTCTGGTACATGGCCTCCAGTCTGGAAAAGTTTCATTAGGTCATGGAATTGGCCATGAATATCGCCACAAACAGTGACCGGACTGTTTACAGGTTGCACATTGGACTCCTCAATAAGAATCTCTTTTACCTGTGATAGTTACAATGACAAACAAGGGCAACAAAAATTACAAAACTCCTCTAGGTAAGGAAAACCTGAAACTACTACTCATGGGACAATTAGAAAAGAGCAAAGTAAATAACCTACACAGCCACAGGAATGTTTCTACATGGCACTTTGAAGAATAATGCTGCGCTAACCATTTTCCATAACTAGCTTAACATGCACATGCCAATATTATTGTATGAGCCCGTCGTAAGTTACCTCCCTCTCAGGACAATTGTGTGGGACCCACTGTTATATGGTGAGACTAGCACGACGTGAGAGGGAAGTCAGAATTGACAGGCTCAAATGAAACTTCACGGTTTTGCTGGGTGCAGGCAAAAGTAATACACTCTCCAACCGCTGCACATATTTATGTATCAGACAGTCCCGTACAAAATTTTGAAAAACCAACTATATCTACTGAGTGAATATCACAAGTAACACTAGACTTCCAAACCAGGTATTTCAGGTTTTGGATTCGGTAGCCAAAAGCAGTTCTTTTTGCCAATCAAGTAATCGACGTGTAATGAAAAAAAGATTGAGTAAACTTTGGTGAGCATGATCAAGAGTGTTGATAACATTAAACATTGTGTAATGAACTGTAACATACTCTCTGTGACAAACAAGGGCAACCCTAAACATATACAGGCAGTGAATAAGGGGAGAACCAAAAAAAAGAAAGAGAAAGAAAGATGCTTTCTTTCTACTTTTAATCAAAGGGGTATGTATTGAATCTTGAAGCCCATCAGTCTATTAGCTACTCAAGCTCAATCACCGGTTAGTCAAAGATCGTTTGTGAACAAAAATTGAGTGAACAAGCTACATTCAATGGTCAAATTTTTAAGGAATCAATATAGAAATCCGATTCCCAAATTGATCGAGAAATCAAACGTATTAGACAAAGCGATTACAAAAACCAATTTGAATTTAACAGCGACCAACAGGCTCAGATATGTGTAAAAACCCTAGATGTAGAAATGTAGATAAAGGAAAGAAAGAGATAGAGATACGGACGTATTCGCATAGGAGTTGAAGCTCGTCCTCCAGAAGATGCTGTCCTTCCTTCACCTTTGAGATCCACTGGTCCAAATCCATCTCTCTTCTTCTTCTTCTTCTTCTTCTCTCTGTTTAGGGTTTTCAAACCCAAACGAGAGACGAAAACTACGAAATTGCACGTGCTGCGCCTGCGTGTGTTGCCAGTTAAGCATTTACCAAATCGGATGGGATCTGTCCTTTTAAAAATAAAAAATAAAAGTTTTCGGCTTACCACTCTAATCTATATTGTATACCCACTATATATTCTGATACGCCTATTCATTGTCATTTTTAGTTAAATTTTTTTTAAATTCTAAAAGTAACATTAATGTGAGAGTTAATTAGACTTAGGTTAAAAACACATGGTAAATGATTAAACGTGGTCAGCAAAATTCTCCCAAAAAAATAATGTTTTATACTTCAATCTTTTTTGGTTAAACTTTTAATCCGAAATTATTAAAGAATAAATTTAGAATAATTTTTAAGGTTAAAAATTTAGATTTTAATCCATAAATAATTTTTTTACTTCAACTCTTCTTACTTAAACTTTTAGCCTGATATTATTAGAAAATAAATTTACGATAATGTTTTTCTTAAAGTAACTTCAAAAAAATAAAAAATTATGTAGTCTATCCTAATTAATTTTATGAACATTTGAATCTAAACTCAAGGAACATTAAAGAATATGATGAAATAAATTTTTTTTTTCAATTTTTTTTTAATTTGGACTGTTATAAATATAAAATTAAAAAAAATACACATATATGATCTACCAACCCACAAACCCATGGGAATTCTGGCTTAAATTTGTCAAAAATGAGTTTTGGGTTAAAATTCATACTTGCCCCAAGTGTTGCAACAAGTTGGAATAGATTTAGAACCTAAAATTTGAGTTTTAATTTGACACTATGTTTGGATCAAGGAAATAAACTTGGATTTTAGGTGCAATCAGAATTTATAAATTGACATACACTAATTCTCTTGTTTAGATTCATAGACATAGAAATTTAGAATTTCCGCATGGAGAAAATACTTGGAATTTGAGACCTCCAATTCCCAAGTTTAAATTTCATGTAAATAGATGTCATTTCCCAATTTATATGATTGACAGTTTAAAAATAACAAATTTCATATTCAATTCAATTGTATTTTTAGGTCTACCAAACAATAAAATTCACAAATTATAGAAAATAAAATCTTTTCATTTTAATTTCTGTCATTTTAAAATTCCTTATTAATCTTAAACAAATTTTTAAGGAGAACTATTATTGGTACTCCAAAAATTTTATTTAGTACTCATCATAAGTGTATTTTACTTTCTAATATATAGAAAGTTTGGAATGCTAATAACAACTCACTTTTTAAAATCCCTTCGCAAATTCACTCGTTCTCACGTCAATACTTGTTTCTGGAACTACTGCACTGGTTCAACAAATTTTTCCATATTCTGGTTGTGCAGGAATGACGGTATACTTGTCGCCCATTCAAGATCATATTTAGCAGCTAGGGAAGGGAGAAACGGCTCTCTTTTTCCTCAGCAATGAAGAAGAAAGCAAAAGCTATCTACGTCACTAACTAAAAGCACTGCAAATTGATTCATTCTTAAAAGGAATTTTCAGATGTTTCTATGCACTTTTGTCAACTTCACTAATTTGTAAGAATGGTAAGATTTATATTGGCGTGGAAAACCCAATTTAACAAGTGAAGTTGAATATTAACCTTCATTATTGCAATATTTGTATCAATTCCATCCACTTCACTTGTTCCCACTGTTGCCTGTGCAGCTTCAGCCCTCCCTGTGTCCAGTACTGACTGCTTCACTGCCATTTCCAAGGGATTAATCTCACCAACACAAACATCTCCCACTATTATTGCTTTTCCATCAAGATCTACATCTTTTTGTAATAAAAATCCAAGTTGAGTAAGTGCTATAAGTGAAACTGGAGAAATTTTTGGCTGCCGTTTTGCATGTGGACTACCAGAAACTGTAAGATTATGAGTATGAATATGAAACTGACTATGGTGTTTAAGATTGATATAGAAAAGTCCTAATCTTTAAGCTATTATGTATTAGTATTTCTGCAGGAAAAGTACATTGAGGTTCTGCATAAACCTTGTGGGATTGGAACTCAGTACCAGAATTAGTTTCGGACTAGTGTTTCGGTATTAGTAGTTAAGTCTGAATCCTAAACCTATTCTGATAGGGAATGGTTAAGGGAGTACTACATAAGACTTGAGCCACTGCCCTTACGGGAATGCGGTTCATTGAGATCTCAAGTCCTGTTGATTGAGAGAGCCATTGTGTCTTGTTAGAGGGTAGAAGGTTTCGAGTTTATCTTGCTGCAATGGCATCATCATCTGGAGCAAGTTCTGCAGGTCAGTTTCATGCTTACAAATTTACAGTTTTCTTATCTTGATCTTTTGAGAATTGTGATTCAATTGATTGAATCTCTATCCTTGTAATGTTATTCTTACAGAAACATCACGTAGGATAGCACTGGAATTCAAAAGAAGCAAGCGACTCGACAAAGTCTTCAAAATCAAGTCCCCCCCCCCCCCCCCACGGAAGACTTTCAGCAAGGTTAAAAAAGCAAGTAAGGTTTTATAACGGGATGAAAAGAAGTGGGAGGCGTCTCTAACTGCACGATATCGGATGATGCCAAGAATAGCTCTTGCCAGTACTACTAATTTCTTAGTCTCTTTAAGATCATTTTTCCGAATGAAATTGTATGCACGCAAGATCTCAGGACAAATGTCCCGGCGAGAATTGCCTTTAAACTCAGGAGACTCCAAATAAACTGGCTCAGCTCTGGAAATAATTTATAAAAGAATCAAATAAAATAATTGAGTCAGCTCGCGATCATAGAGTAAAACAAGTTCCATATAGGCTACATGAGGTGTATCGCCTTTGCTTCATTTCTGTTGCCAGATTGTACTTAACAGCTTTTTCATACGAACCAACTCCCAATGATTCAAAGTACAGTGCAGAATTGGTCACTGTCAACCGTCCTCGATAAACAAAAAATTGGATGAGTCACACCTTGCAGTTTTATAATGCAATTTAATTTTGATATATAACAAAACGAAGCCTTCGATAATTGAGATCATGATCTGAATTAGTGATGCCTGTTTGGATCCTTTTCTTGGGGATCATAGGAATCTCACGATCGTAACCGTTTATCGTATATTGTGCGGTCAATTTTCGTTAAATACTATTTATATTTAATTTTAAATTTTAAATTTCGTTAGATACATCGTGCAATGTGATGAACGATCACAAAGATCCTCAGGATCCTCAGGAAAAGATCCGGCAGTTTTCAGGAGCATAAAGCATCTGCTTAAAATATTTACAAGTTTAAAATTGGGAAAGCAGAAAGATAAAGATAAAGATGAAAAAAAAAATTAAAACTGGCCTTGGCCATGAGGGGTTGTAGCAAAATCACTCGAAGAAAATCCTCCCTCCAATAATATTTATAGGATTTCCAGAAGGTTCTTGTCTCATCATATAATTAGTAGACCATCCAGAAGGTTCTTGTCTTATCATATAATTAGTAGACCATTCTCCAAATTGTATTCAAATTGTATTAGCTCTAAAGTTTTGGCAAAAACTGAATTTACTAATGCAAGATCCACCTTCCCGAATACAATCACCGAACAGGCCACAAAGACATGCCTATATGTTGCAGCACTTGGCTGAGTGGGAACTGTACCATCAACATCAGGGACAATTTCTCCTTGTGTAAGCTGAAGGTTTCCAATGGATGAGTTCAGTGCATTTTTTGAAGCCTTAATAACGAGAAATTTTTTATTGTGACAGGAATACGGATGGTATACTACGTGTTTTTATATAAATGGTGAAAATTTTTTAGTTTTTAAGTTAATAACATTTTAACACACATATCCCACCATTTGTATATTGACACGTGATGCACAACCTCGTATGATGATTACACTGAAAAATCTCTCCTTAATAACCCTGCAGAAGAGCCATAATAGACAAAATTGATATCAAGTGCTGCATGTAAGGTTAAACGAAAAGAAACAATAACAAGGCACACACATGCACACATTTTTACTTGTATCTGATGCTGCATCCAACACACTGTATGCATTTTCACTAGATCTCACAACCATAACCACTGGATCCGAGTGCACATCTGCACGCGCATGTGTATGTGTGTGCTTTCGACTAACCTAACGATCTAACCAAAGCTAGAATTATCATAGAGGAGAAATGGGATCTTTTCTCTTCTAAAATAGTGGAATACTTGTCCACTTTACCGTGCAGTCACTATTATGAAACAAAATTACATCTTTTAATTAAAAGGAAATCGCAGAGGAGAAATGGATAATGCATTTCTTACTATCCAAGTACACACCAAATTCATATCATCACACCAGGTGAACTGCATGCATGGGCCGACCCCAATGATTGCAACACAGGATATGTATCAGTTTGTGCAGACATATTTTCTAAACCGTTTACGTGTATAGCATTTTTCTTTCATAAAAGTATTAACACACATGGGCGAGGCAGCAACAGCGGATCGTTACTTTGTTGTACACATCAATGTCTATTTTTATCTTTGCATTTAAGAGACATTTAATGAAAAAATTATCTTTGGACTAAATTTGATAACGGACCACACGAGTTTAAATCTTAACTCTTTTACCACTAGAGTTATTTTCCAATTACCTTACCATACCGATTATCCGATGAGGGCGAAAAAAAAAAAAAAAAAAATCAGCTTGTTAAACTAAAAAAAAAATGAAAAATCACTTTGACCGCAACCACCACGGCCAGAGTTGCAATTTTCGAAAGAATAAGGTTGCGGGCCTGGCTCCGAGCGGCAAGCGAAGTGAGGTGAAGGGACTTGCTCATGGCTTTTGCTTCTGCGACTTGCTTTTCCTCCCTACTTCAACTGAAACTGCTTCCCCGCGGCCTTGCCGCCAACAGTCCCCTATCGGTATTTCCTTCTTCTTATAATAGTCGTCGTTTCAGACCTCTCAGTCCGACACTCAAAGCAAGCAGACCCTTTTCCGGCGTTGTATCGGCTGCGGCGAAGGGTAATTCGCATTCGAATTCAAATTCCGTTGGAATCAAAACCAGTAAAGCAGCAGCGGAAGAAGAGGAAGTAGTGGAAGAGGTGGAAGAGGATTTACCGTGGATTCAGGAGAAGGCCTTGGACGTGGTAGAGTTCACGGGCTCCGTCACACAGGCGATTCCTGGACCCAGAGTGGGCACCAGCTCTCTCCCTTGGATTCTGGCTCTCCCTCTCACCTATGCCGGTCTCACTTTCGTCATTGCCCTTGTCAAGACCGTCAAAAAGTTTTCTTCCCCTCGACATAAACGCAAGAAACTGGTCAATTGTCTTCTTCGTCTTCTTTATCTTCTTATTATTTTCCTGTCCACTGGTTATTGGGGTTTAGGAAGTAAATTAATGGTGGTTAATTTGGTATTTTCTAAGTTCTTTCGTCTTGATTGATTCATTGTCTTGTGATGACAAACAAACAGGTGAATAAAAATGCTATGCTATGCAAATCAATAGACGAATTGTTTCAGAGTGGTGCAGATCAAGTCAAACCCGATGCCTTGCACCAGCTTGTGCAGAAGGTGACATATCTTCTACTATTACATATGCAATTCAGATGCAGTGTCATAATTTGCCATATCATTATTACACTTTTGTCGACTGCTGAACCAAGCAATTGCGTTTGTTGTCTTATTCTTCAAAATTATTTATTCATTCAATTCGATTGATGGTTTTTCTGGGGAAGCACTTTCAAGTTCAGCTGTATATTTCTTCTTACATTGATAAATTGTTTATCCAATGAATGAGTACTGCGTCCTTGTATTAATTTTCATTTGTGTTACACTTTGCTACTTTGAGTTTGATAACAACTGCTTATTAATTTTTAGACTGGTTTTAGCATGGAGGAAATTTTGCGAAAGTACATTCGGTATACTTTGAATGAAAAACAATTCAACCCAGCCGTGGTTTCCAACTTAATTCAGCTCAGAAGAGCTTCCATGTTCGATGATTCTCAAGTTGCTGAAATTCTGAATGAAATTTCAAGAAGATTTGTACGAGACAAGGGTAAGCTGACTCATCGAAGATCTAATTGCATAATATCGCCTTTTCCATGGGAAAATATATAATCTGATGAGGAAATGTTGGGAAAGTATACCACTCCCTCCTACCTATGAGTTACCAAAGATGGATGCTCCTAGTGCGCTCCGATAGCGCTCTTTCTACCAGTACTACTCTATTGATGACATTATCTCTTTGCCATTTTATCTTCTTTATTTGTTGTTGTTGTCCATCTTGTTAGTGTCGTCTGGTTTTTTTTCATTCATGGATTTCCAAAATACATTAAACTAATTGACTGTTTAACCTTTTAACAAAATCATACCATAAAAAGTTGGAGAAATTCCTTCCAAGACTTTGCTATCAGTTGCTGACAACGTGTTTTCAACTTCCAGGCCCAGTTGTAATGGACGTTTCAGGCTACACTGAAAGAGGTTTCAAGAGAAAATTAGCTGTTCAATCCCTTTTTGGAAAGGTTTTCTATCTGTCAGAGGTAAGGGACTGAACACCCAAAATTATGAGTTTGACATACTCTTTGTATGTTTCAGTTTTTCTCACCTTTTCTTTTTTCTTTTTGTCTCTAGAAATCTTACTCGTATAGTCACATGATAGTCATATTGTGGTAATCTTCCAGTTATGGTTATGTCCAGTCAGACATCGTGGAAACCTACCTCGTGATAAGAGAAAAATATTGCACTTATTTTGTTTAAGTTCCCAAATACGGCCTTTACCAATTTTCGCACATTGGAGAAATTCTTGTATTCAAAGGATATTTATGCCCCCTCTTATTCCCCTTTTCATGTTCTGGTAGCGTGACCGGTATATTGTGATGAGAAGGCTGTCTGGAAAAATTTTCTGCCCTCAAATGCTCCTTGGAGTGGTCAAACATGTTTTGTCAGAAGCATGAGGATGGCTGAAACATGTGACACTGCTCTAGTGATTGAATATGAATTGTGGGCACAGAAATGGGTCATTTTGGTACCATAGCCTCAAGATTCTGAACTTTTGCTGAAGCATGATGTGAGTTAGAGTGGCCTGGAAATTTATAGATTAAATTGGCTGCATCAGTAGAACTCAAATTTATACAAGGGCAGAAAAGTTTTCTGAGAAATCTGCGGATAATCACAAAAAAAGCTCCATTGTTCTTGAGGCATTTTATGATGATTTTGTTTGTTACATCTTGGTTATTTTGTAAATTATCTACCCTTAGTTTGGTATGTTAATTATTTTCATGGAAATGAGGGTTTTTAGAGTTTAGTATGTCAATAACCTTCATGGGAAATTTTTGCAGCTTCCAGAGTTCTGTTCGAGGGATAGCTCCTTAATTGTCAAAGAAATATTTGGCGTTACAGAGTAGGCCTCTATCCCTAATCTTCAGCTCTTTGAATTCTTGTAAAAGAATGAGGGAAAAGGAAATGTCTATTCCATTGTGATCCGAACAAAACTTTACGATTGCTGTTCTCAGCGCTCATAACTAATGTTTTTTCTCTTTTTATTTTCTCTTGTTCCCAGTGAAGATGCGGATAAGTTACGGATACATATGCATTCTGAAGCAGGGGATATAGATTCGTTAGAAAAGATGGTTGATGGTTCAGATTCAGATGATTCTGGTCACGGCTCTACTTAATTCACATGCACCGTATCCACGTCGTTTGGCACGGAAAAGAAAAGTTGTGAAGGAGGAGGACGGAGCCACAAGGCGTGCCTTATAAACGTAAATCTCTTTGGTTTCATGAGCATGTCGAATTTAAAATCCAAATTTTGTCACAGAGTTATGTTTGAACTTCACTTTTAAATACGATACTATTGGATTTATGTACTTGGAAATTACTTATATATGTGGGGACGGAGTAATATAAGGTGGCGATGTACAAGTTGCTTGGGCACACCGTCTGTTGTGTTGTTCCATGACCAGGACAGTTGTTGCCTTTTTCACATTATAATTTTGAGACTAGACGGCATAATCGACCTGCAGTCCAACTTCGTCCAGTACCGTAATCTCTACCATCCATAATGGCTGATAGGAGTCCATCTGTGAAAGACAAAGAAAATGCCTTGCAATACCAGTGAAGCCGAACGTTAAGGCTTCGATGGTGGATATATCTCTTACCTGCAATGTATCAAACAAGTTTGAAGGTCATTTGGGTTAAATGAACTTTCACTTTCTATTCTTTTTTGTTACATTTCAAGTTTCGAATCATGGACTAGCCTATTGATATTCTTCTTATTCTTACCCACCTATGTTACTAGGCTAACTCAGACTCAGTAACTCCTAATAAGTCCATGCTAGCTACATTCAAATATTGGTAATTTTTAGATTTTGTTTGCCGTGTGGTTGTAAATTTGATGATTAGGGGCTCATAGTTTCCTGACCAATGAAAGGGAGGCTCGTAGTTTACTCAAATTTCCACTTTAGGCCTTTTTTATTGGTTTGTATAATATGGATTTTCATATTGTACGTGTATAATTTATATCTATAACTTCTCTATATATAAAGAGAGAAGACAAATTTAATGAAATATTCATAATACCAAAAAATCTTCCTCCCCTTTTACAACTATTAAAATGAACAATTTTATTAAATAAGAGAAAATTAGTAAAAGAGTTGAAACAAAACAACACCACATAAAGGGAGTTACTAACCATTTATTTTTAACTTTTTTTATAATCATAAATTGTAAAATTAAGGTTTTTCTTCAAATAAAATCAAAATATCCAAAAAATAATAAAGTTAAATTAAAAAAGAGAAAATTAATAAAGTTATATTATTAAGCCACAAGATTTATGGATAATTTTCTTATAATGACAAAATTTCGGGACCTTTGCTTACAAAGCTATGAAAAAACAAAAAGTATTTATACCGATGACAAGATAGTAAATTAGATACGTCAAGTGAATTACGAACTTTCTTTTATTTTTTATATAACAATATATATTTGCACATCACAACTGGAAATAATTAGTAGGAATAACAAGTGTAACAGCCCCTACGAAACCAAATGGACACATGACGGAAGTTACAAGGGGGAGCAAGGGTACAAGAACATTGGACTGGAACGCGCCTTGAGGTACTAACAAGCTCTCCCTCCTCCTTCACAGTTCACACCTTCACCCTCGCACCTGGGTCCTTGTATTTGCAGTTGCAATTGCAGTTGCAGAGTAGTAAGTCCAAACTCCTAAACCCCTGGATTGGATTGGATTGGATTGGATTGGATTGGTGGGTTGTAGAAATCTACATATTCTAGACAGGAAATTGAGGAAGAATTGAAGACGACGATGATTCAGCTGCAATCCCAAGTTTCATCATCATCATCATCTTGGCCAGTGGGCCCAATCTCATTTGAGGCTCCGAAAGGCCGGATGTCTGCCTTGAATGTACGATCAGGAGGACGACGACGAGGAATACGATGTAAGGCGGTGGCGGTGGGAATGGGGATGGGAATGGGGCCTTACACGGGGAGAGACCCAGATGTGAAGAAGGCGGAATGGCTAAGGCAGAAAGCCCCCCAGGGACACATGTACAGGGAGGTCAAGGAGTCCTTGTCCCGTCTGAATCTCAAGACGGTGTGCGAGGAGGCCCAGTGCCCTAACATCGGCGAATGTTGGAATGGAGGTGGCGACGGCATTTCCACTGCCACCATCATGCTCCTCGGAGACACCTGCACCCGCGGCTGTCGCTTCTGTGCCGTCAAGACCAGCCGGACTCCTCCACCTCCCGATCCCATGGAGCCTCTCCACACTGCCACCGCCGTTGCCAGCTGGGGCGTCGATTATATTGTTTTAACCAGTGTCGATCGCGATGACCTGGCCGATGGTGGAAGCGGACATTTTGCTCGCACCGTCCAAGCCCTCAAGGTTGGTTGGTTTGCTAACTAATCAGCTTGCTTGCTTCAGTTTCACTACTTTGATTGGTTGGATGCATTATATGTCTGATGATCTAGCTTTTAACGTAAGACTCTCATAAGAGCATAGAGTAATGCGAAACAGACAACTTCTTTCTTTTAGAATAACAATAATAATAATCATCTCTCAAGGTTGGTTGATTGACTTATTGATTGTTGTACTTCTTCTACATTCATCAATACAATATACAATACAAGGTTTACATACTCTTTTCGCTCTGTAGACTCTCAAGCCTGACATCATGGTTGAGTGTTTAACTTCCGACTTTCGCGGTGACATGACGGCTGTACACACTCTGCTTTACTCTGGACTTGATGTTTTTGCACACAACATTGAGACCGTCAAACGCCTCCAGCGAATTGTCAGAGACCCTCGCGCTGGGTAAGCTAGCTGCACTCCCCCTTATCTTCGTTTATCTCTTTTCCCAAAGTCTTTCGGTTATGTATTTCGTAATTTGTAGTGAAGTGCACGCGTTGTCCGACTTGGATGGTTGCACCATATGACATGCTTTTGTGCGAACATATAATATAAGGGTAATGCATACCATCTTTCCCTCCTAAAATCATGTTTGGAACTATGGCTTGACACATATGGGCTATGCATGCTCCAAGTTTAAGATAACATTCAACGATAGAAAATGCACCTAGGGTTAAACTTTCATGTACTTTAGGTAACAGTTCCATATCAAAAAGGTAAGTCACACAAATGATAGCCAAAAAGGACCATAACAAATACTTGTCAAGGCTTCGTGTGTATTTGTTGTATACTAGGAAATGAAGTCAATGGCCTGGAGAAGTTTGCTTAATGTGGTGATGCAGGTATGAGCAAAGCTTATCTGTTCTAAGACATGCAAAACAAAGCAAGAAGGGGATGATAACAAAAACTTCTATAATGTTGGGCCTGGGAGAAACAGACAATGAGTTGAAGGAAACCATGGCTGATTTAAGGGCTATAGATGTTGATATATTGACACTTGGACAATATTTACAGGTTGGTTAAACCAGCATAGCTTTCATGTATTTAGCTTTGGCTATTTTCATGCAAATACGTTGGAACTTACAGACTGTAAGGCTGGTGTCATTGTGTTTGAGTGTCCAAGGTTGGACTTGGATTTTTGACAGTCTATTCTTGTTGTATGCTTGAAAAAGGGCTGTAATCTGGCCCATGGTAATTTTTATTTTCCATAAGCAATCCGCTTCTACTGTTTCTGAGGCAATCATCAGATGAGACTAAGTTACATTCCAGTAGAATTTTGTGATAAAGATTTTGATTTTAAATTGCTTAAATTGTTGCAGCCAACTCCATTACATTTGACTGTCAAAGAATATGTCGCCCCTGAGAAATTTGTTTTCTGGAAGGAATATGGGGAGTCTATTGGATTTCGTTATGTAGCCAGTGGCCCCTTGGTAAGATGTTCATTAACGTCAGGTTTATAGATATTGTGGATTATCTTTCGTTACTGTTCTTGATTGAATGCAGTTATTTAGTTTACCATTCTTCATGAAAAAAATCTTTGCATCCATTAATTTTTCAGGTCCGGACCTCATATAGGGCAGGGGAACTGTTTGTTAAAACAATGGTCAGGGAAATGGCTAACAGCTCTACTGGTTTACCTCAGTAACTTGTGGACTTCAATATGGATGGCTACTAAAACGGCAATAATTTGGTAGCTGCGTGAACAGCTGAAAATAGGGCAAAGTTATAGTTGCAATGAGCTGATGACCATAAATTGTTAGAGGGTCTGAATTTCCAAGGTTTGCCATATATATAAATTTTGGTTCAATTGAGCATGTTGATGTGCCGCAATCATTTGTTTATTAATCATAGTTTACTTTGGCATTCCAGTTGCGAACACGGTTGGTGTCGGAATGAGGATTTTCCCATCTTTCTGTTAACATTTCAATTCAGATTAGGAGAGGAAATAGAGTTACGTTGGTTGCAAACTTGCAATTTCAAGTGGATGGACGAGTACGATGGTAGCTGCTTTGATGAACATTTGCAGTTGCCTTTGCTTAAATAAATATGGATAATACTCAATCAATGATAGGTTTTTGGGCCAATGATCTGCTTGTTATTTTTTCAAAATGTTTGATTGAAAACCTTATTTTCTTCGAGTGGAGCTTATATTTATGAGTCAAGGGCAAGACATGATGAGAGCAACAAAGCAACCTAACCTTTTCGATTTTTTTGATTAGCAGTAGCAAATTTTTTCTTTCTGAACCAAAAGGAGAAGGCGAGACACATTTGATTTGAGTCATCCGTCTTGTTGTATCATGACATGTTGTCTAAGAATTTGATAAATAAAGAACTTAACTTAATAAATTACAAGTACATAGGAGCACACCGTTACGATAATTAAAAATATGTATTAAGTTTTATTAGTAAGACATGTTATGTTGCGGCTTTGTGTCCTATTTTCTTGTTTTGGACAAAATATACACTGTTTTGAAATGAAAGGATTAAACAATTTTTTGGGGTGTTTCAAAGTAATCAGTAGTTGCTTTTTTTAACCATTTAAAAATTAAGATGTAACAATTGCAATCCCTGAGCACCTCAAAAATCTTTGCGTGTCCATGGGACGGTGTCTTTTTGGGAGGGGGATTGTTTGCTCTTCTATTTTCATACTTTCTTCATGTCCTCTTATGATGTGTGATTACGATTAAGTTATATCAACATTTTATATTAATTTTTTATAGAAATAATAAAATAAAAAATAATAAGAATATAAAATATTGACGTGGCTTAATTGTGATCACATAAACAAGAAGGTACGAAAATAGTATAAAAATTGGAGGGCAAACAATCCACGGTGGTGAGTGACTGTTGGATTTTAAAGTCCTGTCCATCTATTTTGCCTGCGTGCTGTCTGCCTCCCTATCTGCCAATTGCCAAAAGCTGATTATTTGTAAACTTATTTATTTTTAATTTTTGGTTAAAATATAAAAAAAAATTACAGCCTAGATATCAATAACAACAATAATAATATTGAATATCTCTTGGTTAAAAGAGGAAGAACGTTACTATGTAATACTTAGAAAATAGTAACAAATCCAAGCAATAATTTCTTTATTTTTTTTGTCAAACATATCGCCCTTTATGTTAAATTTAATAGACCTTTATCTTAAAAATAATTCGAAAGAAAGTGCAACTCTTGTTTTGAATACTATAATTTATATTTCTACTTCAGAAAAAATAATAGTTTGATAAGTAGTATACTAACTGTGTTTTATTTTTTAACCAATTATATTATCTAAATTAAAAAAATAAGGATGAATAAGCTTTCATCTACGACGATAATCGAAGTCTTATTTTAGATATACTACAAAATCTTTGTTGTTTAACGATGAGTGCTTTTATTCAATGAGAAAAAAAAGTGAAAAAGAGAAGGAAAAAGAAAGATGCTGGTAATACTCTCATATTTCTCATGGTGAGACCGATCTGATGGGTTGAATATTTTTACTTTTACTTTTACTTTTAGCCTTGTTAGTTAAACAGTAAAAGGAAGAGCGCAGTGGGGTGGTAGGTGGTTCCCAAGTTCCTACCAGGTATCAGCGTCTAGTCCAGGCTAGTCCACTGGTTTCTTACTGCTACTCTCTAGTGTCTAGGTTAATACCAAGCACACCAGCTGCTCCCGCTGCCAGGTCGCCGCCACGAGCAACGCTTGATAAGTAAGTTGGTAAGCTACTTCTCTCTTTCTTCTCATTTTTATATGAATTTGAAGACTAACATCTGCGAGAGAAGGGCTACGTTTGTTTAGTTTCAAATTTCTAATTTCTAATCAATCTCAGCTCAGAATCAAATCGAATCGGAAGATCAATCATCATCATCATCACCGATCAAGGATCTATCTATCTGATCTAGCCGATAACAGAAGAAAAGAAAATCAATCAAATTCAAGTTTCAAAGAATGGCCAACATAGACATAGAAGGAATACTCAAGGAGCTCCCCAACGACGGCCGCATCCCCAAGACCAAGATCGTCTGCACCCTCGGCCCCTCTTCCCGCTCGGTCCCCATGGTCGAGAAGCTTCTCAGGGCTGGCATGAACGTCGCCCGCTTCAACTTCTCTCATGGCACCCACGACTACCACCAGGAGACCCTCGACAATCTCCGCACTGCCATGCACAACACTCAGATCCTCTGCGCCGTGATGCTCGATACAAAGGTCCCTATATATCCCTCTTTTTCCTCATTAATTTCTCAATTTCTCTTTCCTATACATACATACTTCTGCAGCTACACAAAAACACACACACACACACACACACACACACACACACACACACACACACCCTCACTTTCCTTTGTAATTTTCATCCTACTCTTGTTCTTTTTATTTTTATTTTTTTTATTTTTTATTTTTTTTGGTTTTGGTTTTCCTGCTTTGCTTTTTAGCGAATTACTTGAATGAATGAAGGAATAAGTAAATAAGTAGTTTTGTCTTATTGTCTCTGTCTTTGTTATTCACCATTAGTCTTAATTATCGTCGTCTTAGCTATTAGCCAATGCAACTCTTGTGTTTGTCCTATTTATTATATGGTACTTTTTTCATAAATCAAATAATATGAATATGGTCAAATGGATTATCCAAACTAGGGTGTATTCTTGTAAATTGTCTCATACATGACTTTTATCAAGAGGACAAGTAGTACATTTCCTATTAACTAGGAGAGATATGTTCCTGTAAATTGCCCCATACATGAATATGAATATGAATAATTATCACCTGAGCCTCTGTCCCATGTTTCTGAGAGAAATAACACTGGGAATAGTCTTGGTCATTATTACAACAGAAAGACTTGCTACAAGATGAAGTTCACGTCTCTACTGAAATATATATAACCGTTAGAAAGCAAACTACTACATTATGGTATCGGAGCATGAGATCCTAAGTTCAATTTCTTGCAATCACAATCCTCTCAATATTAAGTTGAGTCCACATGCTGGCTCTACCGGTGGAAGGAGCCTACATATGACAGGAAGTGTAAGAATATTAAAATTGTTAATCAACATTCTAACAAACTCTAACAACAATTAAAGATGGTCTGGTCTACAATAATATTCCACTTTCCTATTATTGAACCGCATGCTTGTTACTTCCATTTCTTTCCTACCATGCTGGTAGTTACAATAATGTTACACTCTAATCAGATAATGCAATTTGAACTCAAGGGATGATTTCATGATATTGTTTGCAAAACATTCTCTTTTTGTTATGCGACTTATGAACATGGCTACTAATACTAGAATTGTTTACCCATGAAAGTTCCATTTCCTTTTTGTAGGGGCCTGAGATTCGGACTGGATTCCTCAAGGGTGGAAAACCGATTCAACTTAAGGAAGGGCAGGAAATTACTATTACTACTGATTACAGCATCAAGGGGGATGCAGAGATGATTTCCATGAGCTACAAGAAGCTTGCTGTGGATTTGAAGCCTAGAAATACCATTTTATGTGCAGATGGCACCATTACTCTCACTGTATTATCTTGTGATCCAGCAGCTGGTACAGTTAGGTGCCGCTGTGAGAACACTGCAATGCTGGGTGAAAGAAAAAATGTCAATCTTCCTGGTGTTGTGGTGGATCTTCCCACACTGACGGAGAAGGATAAGGAAGATATTCTCGAATGGGGCGTGCCCAACAATATTGATATGATTGCTCTTTCATTTGTACGCAAGGGATCAGATCTTGTTAATGTCCGTAAAGTTCTTGGACCCCATGCCAAGAACATACAATTGATGTCAAAGGTATGCACCAGTACCCTCGCTTTCAATATTTGATCGTACCAGCATTGATGTCGTAAAATGATTCATGGCTTTACTTTTTTGGTTTTGATGTTTAATTGTTTTTTTTTTCATTAATTAACCAGTTAAAGTTTGCTGTGGTTTCTATAGGTTGAGAACCAGGAGGGAGTTATCAACTTTGACGAGATATTGCGAGAGACAGATTCATTCATGGTTGCCCGTGGTGATCTTGGAATGGAAATCCCAGTTGAGAAAATTTTTCTGGCACAAAAGATGATGATATATAAGTGTAATCTTGTGGGCAAGCCTGTGGTCACTGCCACTCAGATGCTTGAATCCATGATCAAGTCTCCTCGGCCAACCCGTGCTGAAGCCACAGATGTAGCTAATGCTGTCCTTGATGGCACTGATTGTGTCATGCTTAGTGGTGAGAGTGCAGCTGGGTCCTATCCAGAACTCGCTGTGAAAATTATGGCTCGTATATGTATTGAGGCAGAATCTTCCCTTGATTACAGGGCAATCTTTAAGGAGATGATAAAGTCGACACCCCTTCCAATGAGCCCCTTGGAGAGTCTTGCATCCTCTGCTGTCAGAACAGCCAACAAGGCCAGAGCCAAACTCATTGTTGTGTTGACACGTGGTGGGAGCACAGCCAAATTGGTGGCGAAGTACCGGCCTGCTGTTCCAATCTTGTCGGTGGTGGTTCCAGTTCTGACCACAGACTCGTTTGATTGGACCTGCAGTGATGAGACTCCGGCAAGGCATAGCCTGATCTACAGGGGGTTGATTCCTCTATTGGCTGAAGGATCTGCCAAAGCTACTGATGCAGAATCCACAGAGGTGATCCTGGAAGCTGCTCTGAAGTCAGCAACAGAGAGGGGATTGTGCACGCCTGGGGATGCTGTGGTGGCACTTCATCGTATTGGAGTCGCCTCTGTTATTAAGATCTGCGTGGTAAAGTGAAACTGAGGTTTGCAGAATACCAACATTTGCACGGTAAGGCAATGTAGCCGAGATGGAGTAATTGCGTTTTGCTTTCTAGCACCTTATTATGTTTTAGCGAGCACAGCACTGAAAAGTGTCGTTGTTATTTTTCTTTTCTGAACTATGTGAAAAGGTATGGTACCTCTAGATTTTTATTGCTTTATGCCGCACAGGCTATGAGCTATTATGGGAGTATGCTTGATTTTGCCCGGGTATAGAAATAAGGCTCGGGAAACCTTTACCACTATGATTGGACGAGTGACTTTTAAAATACCAAAGAAGTTTAGTCCTCAAATCAATCGTGAAAACACTACAAGAACACTAGAAAACATAAAATGGGATTTGGACCGACACATTTCCACGAGTCATTTCGAAGATTACCTAAAGTCCCTCACCCAAGTGTGCCGTTTAGTTTTTTTCTGGTTGTGGTTGGTCTTGATCATGTTAGGTGTTGGGCCTGTTGGCACATTCTCTCCTGATTGCTGAATAGTCATGTAAACAGATCAATGCTGCAAATTAAAGATAAGCGACTTTACATTATTAAGCAAGAGAGATTCCCTTCAAAGCCAAATCCGAAGCCGAAGATTGTTCAAATTTTCTACACCAAAAATGAATGGCCTCTCAGAGGCTTTTATAATTTCGTGACATATGTTCACCCACTTAGTAGTGTTAAGTAGTTGTTATCTCGCGTAAATTTCTGAACAAAAAAAACCCAAGCTTCCGTTCCCGAGCATCACTCTCTCCCCCGATCAGAGGGATGCCAACAACAGCAATTTCCCTTTATGATGGCCGATGTTTTTTTTGGATTGTTTCTGATGTTTGTTTGGACACTTGGAATTTTTTGTTTAATGCCACAATCAGTGTGCAAGAGAAAATAAAAGAGATAAGAGTGTACTCCATGTTCTTGTTCTTTCAGGTTTCTTGTCAAGTCTTAATCTTAGAGGCTTAATAAGGTTATCCATCGGACTCATTATTGATATAGTGAAAGATTATTGTTGGTACCTCATAGACGTAGGCACATCTAGGCGAACCACGTTAATTCTTAGTATTGTTGAACTTGGCTATTTTGTTTTTGTTTTTTTCCAATATTGTTCAATTGTTCCCATTCTTAATGCGATAACCACAACAACTTGTATCAAAGCCTGGTTATCTGATATCTGTTTAGAATGGTGGCTTCGATTAGTACCAAGATGAAACTCACCTCGCTCCAATTAGGTTATGGGGAAATCAAGAATGGAGGATATGTTTTATTGAAGGTGTTAAGAGCAAGTCAACAAGTATGTTCGATGCTTATTGGACCAAAATGAAGATGAGGGATGTTTTATGGCAAAGAAATTTATAATTGCCTTTGCCAATGAAGATGGGTACTTCGATCAGGGGGAGCCTGGTCAAAATAAGTCTTATCAAGAGGATCTTGGTCACATAGGCGTTCGATCAATGGGATCGGTCATGAGTAGTTCAATTAGGGGGAGCTCATTATGAGTAATTCGATAAAGGAGATGGTCATGAGTAATTCAATTAGGGGAAGTTTGGTTATGATTAGTTTGATCAGGGGATTATGGTCATGACTAGTTTAATTAGGAGGAGCCTGGTTATGAGAAGTTCGATCAATGAGAGTTTGATCAAGAGGAGCAATCCTATTTTGGTATACCTTCCTCATTGTTTAGGGGGGAGACTGTTCGGTTTTTCCATCCCATGATGAGTTGTCCTAAGTCTATAAGAATTATAGTCTTAGGATTGAATTGTTTACCCAATTGTTGTTGTTTTCCAATTGACCAATTGGAGTTGTTTCCTCAATTGAATTTACCCAATTTGAATTGTTAACTAGTTTAAGTTGTTTTCTCAATTGGAGTTAGCTTCTCAATTGGAGAAGCATTCACAACTAGATTCCAATTAGGATCAGTATTCCTTAATGAAGAAGGCCTTTATTATGTTTATATAAATTGGAGCAAAACAATAAGTTATATATCGTTTAAGGAGTTAGACTGAGAGAAGGGCAAAGTGTGTGTCCAAGAAAAGAAAAGAGATAAGAGTGTATTTCTCGTTCTTATTCTTTCAGGTTTTTCGTTAAGTCTGAACGTAGAGGCTTGACAAAATTATTTGTTGTACTCATTATTGATATAGAGAAACATTGATGTTGTTGCCATGTGGACGTTGGTACATATAACTGAACGACGTTAATTCTTGGTGTTATTTATCTTGGTTATTTGTTTTTGATTTCTCACTTCATTATGTTTTTTCCATTCCTAAATGCGAAGTTCACAACACATTGGAAATTAAGTAACTTGTGCTTGTCTCATTTCTTTGAGTCGTTGTATATATGGTTGTTGGCCTTCCGCGATTCCGTTGAGTGATGGTCCGGATTTGTGTCTATTCGGATTCCGTTAAGAGATGGTCCGGAATCCCTCCTACTCCGCGATTTTGTTGAGTGATGGTCCGGAATCGTATCTACTCAGATTCTGTTGAGAGTGGTCCGGAATCCCTCCTACTCCGCAATTCCGTTGAGTGATGGTCCGGAATCGTATCCACTCAGATTCTGTTGAGAGTGGTCCGGAGTATCCACTCGGATTCCGTTGAGAGATGGTCCGGAATCCTTCCTACTCCCTGATTCCGTTGAGTGATGGTCCGGGATCATATCCACCTTGGGTTTCATTGAGTTTGGATTGAGATAGCTTCAAAGATATAGGCTTCGGCCGAACTACGTCCCTCTAGCCCTAGCTTTTAATGTACATATGAACGATGGATTTTGAGAATTTTGTGCTTTCAATTAGAAAAGTCGTTGGATGTATGGGTGGCTCCTTCAAAGTTGTTAATGACTTGATTATGATTTCATAAAGCATGATTATATATTTGATGTTTATAGATTGTGATCGATGACACTAATTTTACATGCGAGAAACTGATTGATAGTTTTGGATTCCATTGAGTGGTCCGGAATTCTTACTCTTTCTCATTTCTATAAGTTAGACTTGTACCCTGGATTCGAATGAATGAGAATTACCCACAATAAATCTTGTGAATATAAATTAGAATTATCAAGTTATTGCTTGAAATCTAGGCAGGGAATTATATAGAAGTCCTTTATTAATTTTGAGCATTGAGATGTGATCTGATTGACTGATTAACATAAGTAAATGTTAATATCGTGCCTCCTTGATATCATGGAATGGGTTACTTGAGATGATTGTGGAAGGATGTTGAATATGATTGTTATTAAAATGATTAGATCAGTGATCAATGCGACTAGAGGATACTATTGTGCTTTATTGATTCTTTGATATATTACATGATATGAATAGCGATTTTATGTTGAAGCATAATGATTTATATGATGGATGAATTAGAAACCTTGACTGTCTTGCGGGTTGTTATGTAGTTTGAATCGAATAATTCATGCTTGTCAAGTTCAAATGTTTGATTGAGGAATGTTATGCATTTTGGCTTAAACAGACTGTGTTATATGTCGAGCTTTAGCAATGGTGAACTACGAATGGCTTGATCCTTAATGAGGGTACGTAGGCAGTCTAACGAGGAGGTTAGATACAGTCATAAAGTATACGGAAAAATTACTATAAGATTTGATTCTCGAGTTGTGATTTGCCATATCCCGGAGATGGGTATGTTAGATATACGAGTATTTGGTGACGTCGCGTGTTGATCCGGAACGTATGTCGGGATCGGGGCGTGACAAAGTAAGCACATAAAAACATTAACCCCTAAACCCTAAACCCTTCACTCACAAACATAACAAAAATCTAAACTAAGGGCATTAAAATGTATGCAATATTGGTCGTATCACACCCCATCCCAATACAAATATATGCCGCATGTATAGTTGCTCTTGAATGATGATATATACATAAACTACAACTAAACAAATAGTACATTCACTTATACTTTGCAGGTACTTCACTTACAGCAAGACCATGCCTGGTTCACTTGGCCACGAAGAACAAGATGCCAAAACATTTGCTGCTTGGGTATGATATATATGTTGTAATCATTTCACTCAATCAACATCTCCAATGATGATATGTTGTCACAGAATCTTGAAATGCTCGTGCACTTTCTTTGCAGGGAATTGATTATTTGAAGTATGATAACTGTAATAATGATGACTCCAAGCCAACTGTTAGGTAATATACCTAGAATTTCTATGGTGATACAGCACAAACTTTCCTGCCTTCACTTAATTCTCCCGGGATAAGGTCTGCATATGATATACATATTGATAAACATTTCAACTCTTCTTGTAGGTACCCTGTAATGACCCAAGCTCTAATGAAAGCAGGTTGTCTTATATTCTTTTCACTTTGTGAATGGTAATGGTCCTGTTTGCCTATACTCAAAAACCATGTATTTTTTGGTTTCCTTAGTAAGAGGCTTAATTTGTAGTTTTGTATTCTATTTCATTTTTTAGGGGAGATATGCACCCTGCTCAATGGGGTGCTAAAGAAGGAAATAGCTGGAGAACTAATAATGACATTTCTGATACATGGGAAAGGTAGAAACATGCACGTGCTTCCATTAACTCTCAAATTGGTCTCATGTTTTTGGGGTCTCACATATAATGCCGTTTTCTGGCATTTTGGTTGGCAGTATGCTCTCTAGAGCAGACATGAATGAAGTTTATGCTGATTTTGCCAGACCTGGTGGCTGGAATGGTGAATATTTCGCTAATGCAACCAAAAACTGGGTTTTACATATACTGTCATTTGGGTTGGGGACACTGTTGAGTGCTGATGTTTCACAAAGAGGTTAATCTTATTTATCTGCTGAAAATTTGAACAGATCCCGACATGTTAGAAGTGGGGAATGGAGGAATGATAAAAGATGAATATGTAGTCCATTTTAGCATATGGGCCATTTCTAAGGCACCATAAACGTTTAATTTGCTAGATGCTCTTCTTTATATGAAATGTGCAATTTTAGGTCATCTGTTTGGTTACACATGAGCTGTTCTACAGGCTCCCCTTCTTCTTGGTTGCGATGTGAGGAATATCACAAAAGATACCATGGAGATCATTGAAAATAAAGAGGTTATCTCTGTAAACCAAGGTAACTACAAGCTTCAGACAAGCACCAATTTTCCTTCCTAGTGAGTGAACATCAAGTTTACACTAAAACAACTTGGAATTGTGATTCTTGATGGTTAACTGTAACAGGTCCACTTGGCGTCCAAGCTAAAAAGGTCAGATCAGAAGGGGATCTTGAGGTAAAAATGAAAATGCCAGAAAATCTTTTTTGATATGTATACGTAAGAATTCTGTCATTGTGTAACTCTGAAATTTGAATGAACAGATTTGGGCGGGGCCCTTGTCAGGATACAGAGTAGTTTTACTCCTTATCAACCGAGGACCTTGGAAAACTTCGGTCACAGCTCACTGGGATGACGTTGAGATCCCCACAGACAGTGTTGTTGAAGCGAGAGACCTCTGGGAGGTATAATAATCCTTGTATAATCAGTCATCTGTTCTTTCTCAATTCTTGCTACTTTTGGCAGCTGTATTGTAATTTTTGAGAGAGAATTACTGATATCTTGCTCGCTGTCATGCAGCACAAGACATTGAAGGCATGATTTGTCGGAAACTAGACAGGCCACTGTGGACTCTCATGCATGCAAAATGTATGTCTTGAAGCCAGTGTCTTAACCATGCATGAGTTGAGTTCAGTTGGATCAGAATGTTAATGGTGTTGATGAGTGATCTCTCTCATTAGCGTTCATGATTTACAATCTACGAGTTCCTATTTAGCATTTGCCAAAACTTGATTTCCAATCAATAACAATCTGGAGGAAGCAAATTTGTTCCTCTTCTCCGTTGATTTGTGTGTGTGCGCGCTTGTGTTTTGTGGCGGAAGGGCCTCCCCTCCAGGGAATGAGTGAAACTTGTGAAATCTCATCCGTTTCAATGGTGGTGTGTCTATGACCTACCTCCATGTTAGCTCAGCAGTTAGCATGACTGTTGCTTTAGGAAAAAGATTCAGCATCTGCATTACTGATTCAGTAGAATCAGTACAACATCTAACCTCACAATTAATACTACAAAAATAGAACAAATAAATATCATGCAGATTGCAGCAAATTTGAATTTGATAATAATAAATTTGAAGTTGAAGCCACTATAACTAAATCCAAATGTGACGTTGCCTTGTCTATTCCAACTTCCAAGAGAAACCAAACTCTCTTCAATTTATCACATGAGAGAAACGTCCCAACTCCCTCCCTATTCATTCAAAACCCCAAGTAGCAGTTCCAAGAGAAGAGAGTCCTTTCGCATCATAAATTACTTAATTAAGCGCTTTTTTTTTTTTTTTTTTTTTTTGAGTACATTGATAATTTTATACTAAGAAAAAGGAGCCACACAATGGGTAGTCTAATTTAGTATTGAATTTGCCATCCACGAGATTTAAATTTAAGACCTCTTATTTCTAAGTAGAGAGGAATACCAATAGACTATAGTAATGGAGAAATTTTCCAGGTTCCGGTCACATATGACATCTGGTGTTCCAAGGAATGAAAGTTAGACACGTGGCTATTCCATGTTTCAATTAAACTGCATTCTGATAATTTCTGAGATAGCGGGCCCCGCAAACTAGAAAAGAGAAACTTCGCTAAACTCCGTCAAACTCCGTCTTTATCTCTGCCGTCTTAAAAAGAGGAAAAGCGAATTCAAATCATCCAGATTGCTGCGATGTGCAATGGCCTCCTCCATCATCCAGATTGCTGCAACGTGCAATGGCCTCCTCCTCCTCCATCGTTAATTTCTCAGTTCTCTGAAGCTTCTTTGAGTAATTTCTTATTCTTTTATAGGTATCTATGGGTTTTTATTTTTCTTCTTCTGGTTTTCATATTCTGATTTTCATGAAATCAAATAAGGAGCATTGAATGATTTGGCTTGACAAGGCATGAATGGCGGCCTATTTGCATTGATCTGTCTGTAAAATGAGGTTTTCATCTAATTTCATAAAAGGGCCAAAATAACCCAACCAAGGAAAATGACAGTACAACTCAAAGAAACTGTCTGAAACTAAATCTGGAGCAATTGTTGATAAACTGCAGTAGATTGGCTTATCCGTATGACGGCAGGGAAGACCATCAGAACTAAGGACGAGAACCAGAGTAGGGGTTCGTTTAAATGTTATTAACGGCAATGGAAGTTTGACAGACTTTCTTGTCTCTTTGGTTTTTCAAGAATGCAATTTAATTGAAACATGGAATAGACACGTGTCTAATTTTCATTCGTTGGAACACCAGGTGTCATACGAGAGCGGAACCTGGAAAAATTTCTCATAGTAGTGAATGACTACTTAATTAATCTACACTTAGCAAAGAATTTTGATTTCAAAAGCAAAATAAAGTAGATATCAGTTGGACTAGTGGGTCACAGGGCACGTACGCCCACAATGCACCGAAGTTCAACTCGGCACAAATAGATTCTGAGGTGGGCCTTAAGATTTTGAAGTTTTGGGCTTTGGTAAATGGATGATGGGCTTTGCAGTTGGAATAATCTCTCATTGCGGCCGCAGGAGATAAATGACAAAGAAAAGAAATGATGGAATTTAGATGGGATGAGGTGAGCTGAGGATTGAGAAATGATGGCGGCCTTAGTCACAGGAGGAGCCAAGCTGGAGGGTTCAGGCTTAATCTCACTACAGAATTTTAATTACAACAATACACGAGGAAGAAGAAGAAGAAACGAAGAATCCAACTGTCGACCTCATCCAACTCCACCACCTCGGCTCCTATCACTAGTAGTATGCCAGGCCGAGGCGGCCAAAGGGTCAGGTACCACCGCCAGAGGACGCAGACTTGTTAAAATTCGTGAAGAGAAGAGGAAGCGCGAGTACGACTGCCTTCACAAGTATCCTGCCTGGGCCAAAGTGTTGGAAGACGCCTGCAAGGACGATGGTGAGCTGCGAGCGGTTCTTGGAGACAGCATTGGGAACCCTGAGCTCATGAGGAAAAGGGTCGAAGAAAGAATCCGCCAGAAGGGCAGGGACTTCACCAAATCCAAAACCGGTTCTGTCCTTGCCTTCAAAGTCAATTTCAGAGAGTGAGTGAACTGTCTTCTCATTTGTCTATCTTATACTTGTTTACACTTTTATTTCCTTTAATCAGTAACTATGTTTTATACCTGACAGCTTCAATCCTCTTGATTCCCACATATGGTTTGAATTCTATGGATCCCCATCTGATCGCGATGTCGATCTCTTCGGCAGTGTATGTCCGTCCACCTGCTTCCTTTCTGTGTTTTCAACATCCAACATTAAACGCTCTTCCATTATTCCTACTAATCTACAGGTTTATTGTGATATTTGTGCAGGTTATTCAATCATGGTATGTCATGGGACGCTTGGGTGCCTTTAATTCTACTAATCTGCAGGTTGGCTAATTCCATTGTTATATATCTCTGCAGCCTTACATTCTTACAGCTTTACTCCATTTTCAAAATGCTATATAGTCCTGAGTAATTTTGCCGAATTGGTGATCTTAAATACATACGGGCAGTAATTGGGTAATTGTGTCGTATACAAAGATTTTCTTAGAAAGTCAACAACCTCAAGTGTATTCAAGATATGAAGGTATGGTGCAATTATTCAATTCAATATGCGAGACAATGTTTGGACTCTAGAGTTAAATTTCCTAATGTGAGAGGCAATCCTTTTCTTTTATAAAACATACACTGAATGTTTATGCATCTTCACATTGTTATTGAGCCTAATCAATCCTTTTAGTAATAGTTGTTGTTATGTGTAAAAAGATTGAAATATGCTAATATAGTATGGTACCGAACTACTGATGGCAGCTGGCAAATTCTTCTATGGAGTACAATCCCCTTTATGATGTGGATAAGGGTTTCAAAGTGATGCCATCTTCATTTCATGATATCAGCGACGTTGAGTTTCAGGATAACTGGGGTCGTGTTTGGTATGCATTGTAGAACTTAGCTGAATTTTTATATTGCAGTTCTTTGCAATTTTTTTCCACATGGGATTTAAAACTTGAAAAATCTTATACATACATGCACAACAGGGTAGACCTTGGTACAGCTGACTATTTTGCTGTGGATGTACTCCTCAACTGCTTGACAGTCTTGAGTACAGAGTAAGTTTGAATAATCTAAAGTAAAACTAACAAGAGAGTTATCGAGTCTGGACGGAGATTGACTACGTTGGCATTGTTTCCTTGCTTTCTTGGTGGCAGATATCTGGGCATTCAACAGATAGTTTTTGGTGGCCGTAACATGGGTGATTGGGAAGAGGGGATGACCAACACAGAGTATGGATACAAGTACTTCAAGATCTGAAACCCATAATCATTCGCTTGTGGATGTTTATAAAAGTTGTGGTGTTTGGAGGGCTTGGGTTGACAAGTTCATAATATGTTTTCAACGCCATCCTCCCTTCAATTTACTAGCCAGCTACGATCTACAGTTAAGGAAGTTGGGGCGGGGAGTATTTCGTTTATACATGTTTTTAGTAGTATGAACTTCTATTTTGTTTTTTTTTTTTGGTGAACACTTCTATCTTGTTTTGTTTGCTTTGGACGTAAGTAAAATTTGTGGATGAATAATGTATATTACTATTTGGTACAATCATACAACAAGGACTCAATTATCTATCACCTTCTAGCACTCTTTCTTTTGTTTCTTTTTTATTAGGATTGATCTCCTAGAACCTCCAAAAGTTTTAAAATTTAGCTTTTCAGTAACTATTTTTATTTGCATTGTATCTTTGGTCCAAGTTCAATACATAACATCTCTAATTGAATTTTTTAACAAAGTGTCAAAGGTATGTGATCATGTTAATAGTGGCTCCCACATGATATATATATACACAAACACAAAATGTATGAGAATTAGTCGATACAAAAAATGAAAAACATATTAAAAACCCAAATCAAAAAGAAGAAAAAAAAAAAAAATGAAGAAAAGGAAACGAGAATTCGTCCCAAAAAGAAAAGAAAAAAAGGAAACGATAAAAGGTAGAGAGTTGAGGAAGGTGAGTGATGGGTGGCCAGTCCCTTTAATTTTGATTTGGGAAGGAAGGAGAAACAGCATGTACAATGGTCCTTTTACTCACCCACTCATTATCTATTCACCACTCATTATCTTCTTGAACACTTTAGATCTCTAATAAAATTTATCTAATTTAAAGATTATTTAATCGTTCATATGAATAGAATAAATTGATGAATAATCACAAAAATATTATTACTTATCGTAATTATTGATTTGTTCAACATATATAAATAACTAAATGGTTTTCAAATTAATGAATTTCTCTAAACATATCTAATATAATAATAAAGAGGATAAACAATTAGAATATAATAAAATATAGTCAAACGTTGATAAAAAGAATAAACAATTCGAATATAATAAAATATAGACACATGTTATATCAGGCAAAAGAAGTATAATGATTAATTAGAGAGAAAAATATTGTATCAATACAATAGCATTAAACTAAACGAAAGACAAAAGTACAACAATCAGTGAGAGATTTTAAGTTGAAAACCAACTAATTCTCCCACTGTGTTTAGTGTTGTATATATACCCAAGTCGTGAAAGGAAAGCGGCTCATCCTCGCGTGCGTCTGCGTGCACTGACTCAATTATAGATTGGCATCCGCTACAGCGGCCACTGGCTCGCCGATGCCTTTTTATTTGAACAATCTGGTCTGGTCTGGGGAATGAATGAATGAATGAAATTGGAGTTGGAAGCAGAGGAATACTCGCTGAGTCGCTGTCGCCCGTGGTAAGAGTAACTTGTACCTCCAACTTTAATTACCTTTTAAGAATACTCCATACTCTAATTACTAATTGCTACTCTCTAATCCACGGTACCCCTTTCTTTCGTCTCTCTGGTACATTTTCATTTTCAATTTTGACAAGAAATGTAATTTTAGATTTTGTGACAACTTTGAGAGTGTGAAGAAGAAGCAGCAGCAGCGATAAACGAAAGAAACCTCCAACCCAATCCAATCTTCATTCTTTCCCTTCAGTTTCACAATGTAATGTACCGCTGTATTCTTTTCTTCATCTTTCCTATCGCTCTCATCTCCCGATCTAATCTCTTTTATCCCTAAATTTGTTCTGTATTTGAATTTTCAATTTTGACGTTACGGAGCAGAACGGAGTGCATTCTTCGAGATCCGGAATGGAACCACAATCATCACCCTTCTCATCATATTCAGCAGCACTTTGACATCGAGATTTGAGATTTGATTTCAGTGCGTGGACTACTTCGGACTGGTGTGGTCAGAGCTGCTGCTATATTTACCTAGGGCGGCTAGGGTTTCTCTTTTCTTCTTCTTCCCCCATGACTACTAAACGCGCTTACAAGCTACGTATCCTCTTCTTGGTTTATTTATTTCATTATGCCCTACAGTTTCCCTCCGTCATTGGCAGATTGCACACACACAATCTATGGTTCTCTTTTTTTCTTTAAACACACTTTTCTGTGTGTGTGTATGTTTGTATGTACGGGTATCAGATTCAGAATAATATCTCCCGTATTTTTATCCTTAACCTGGGTTGTGCCTCAGAGGAATTTGTAGCACATTCTGCAGCTGTGAATTGCCTCAAGATTGGCAGAAAATCTTCTAGAGTTCTTGTCACCGGCGGAGAAGATCACAAGGTCAATCTCTGGGCCATTGGGAAACCCAATGCCTTACTGGTAACCTACGCGCTCCCTCTCTCCTTGTGAGGTTAATATTGATGCTGCTGCAAATTTTCCAGAGAAATTGTATAGTTATCAACTTGGAACAAGTTTTGTTATTTCATTGAATCTAATCTTCTCGACATCCCTTCATGCCCAGAGTTTGTCTGGACACACCAGTGGAATTGATTCAGTAAGCTTTGATTCTTCAGAGGTCTTAGTAGCTGCAGGAGCTGCAAGTGGTACAATTAAGCTTTGGGATTTAGAGGAGGCAAAGAGTATGCGGTTTATTTATTTTATTTTATATTTTTTCTGCAATATCTTCCTTTAAATTCTGCCAAACAAGAGACTACCCCCTAACGAAACTGCACTGGGAGCTTTTTTAGATTTCTATTTTATGCTGTCAAATTGTCTTATATATATATATATTTTTTGGTTTTGGTATGTGATTTTTTGTGTAGTTGTTCGCACACTTACCGGTCACAGATCCAATTGTATATCTGTGGATTTTCATCCTTTTGGGGAGTTCTTTGCATCTGGCTCCTTAGATACAAATCTCAAAATATGGGATATCAGGAAGAAGGGGTGTATTCACACATACAAAGGCCATACTCGAGGGGTCAATGCTATCAGATTTACCCCAGATGGACGTTGGGTTGTTTCTGGTGGAGAGGACAACACTGTGAAGGTTACTATTTCTTTCCCCTTGCAAAGTAATTAATTCTATTTTCTTTGGCCATTATTATGGATGTTGATACATGTAATCTTTAGACAAATTATGCCATTTGATGTTTTTTCAGACAACAAATAAACTAAAATCTAATATTTCACAGTTGTGGGACCTGACCGCTGGAAAGCTGCTGCATGACTTCAAGTGTCATGAGGGCCAGGTTCAGTGCATAGACTTTCATCCCCACGAGTTTCTGCTAGCAACAGGTTGGTATCTTCTTTTGTACTCATCAGTAATGAGTTGAGCTGGTGTTATTAGCTGTATATTGCAGTGCATTGTTTCCTCGGGCAAATGAAAATGGGTGTCAATGTCCTTGGTATGTTCTGATAGTCCCGCGGATTATTGTTTATATATTGAGGTGCCATTTTGTCATCCTACAGCTCAAGATAGGCCATTGCTTCATTGTAGGCTGCTTCTTCCTTGCTATAGATAGTAGTTTTATCCACTGTTTTCATTTCTTATTGAAATTGGTTTTCCTATTATCTGGTTCTTAACTGCATCAGTTTGACCATTAGATATCCTGGTGTCTGGTGCTTTGTGTTGTTTAATGGGGCAGGAAAATCTATAAAGCATCTAGATATAAGTTGGAATATGCATATCTTTCCGAGACATTAGAAAAATTCTTTTACTAACTCTGACAGTAAAAGCTTACAAAGTAGTCCCCTTTATAGGCTAATTGGGTGGGACATGAGTCTGGAAAGATCCACATAATATACTTACAAATTCTAGTGACTAATTTGCGACACTTAAACACATTAATTTTGTAACTTAGAGAGACTTTAAGACACTAAACCTGCCGACTACATGTGTAAACTGCATTATTACATAAGAAGCTAGAGGGACTCTAGTTTATTGAATTTTGAACTTGGCTTCTGCATCCGTTAACTTAGTCCTCAACTAGTTTTCAACTATTAGTGTTAATATTTTGGTAAAAGAACGTAGGTGAGATTTTCCTATTCGTGACACATTGTCCCTTTCCAAACATAGATTTGAATGTCCAAAATTTCCGTATCAGGGCTTTACATGATCTATAAAGCTGGAGGCACTTGATTTCAATTAGTTCAGAACTTTTTCAGTGCTAATTTCAATTTATTGATCACCTTATACTCTACCCATTGAAAAGTCATGTGGATACATATTCTACCATGTTCTGACCTTTACGTCTTCGAGATTCCCCAAATAACCAAAGAATGACTAGTGAGTTTTCGTGTGTGTATCCGTTTTTAGTGGGAACTTGACGAGTCTATCTGTCTACAGTAGCTGTTTCATTTCTTAAAGTGGCTCTTTACCAGCTGTAAATTTTGGCGACGGAAAGTAACAATAATAGTGGCATTTCAAAATTGTGTGGTTGTTTCGAATATCAATAAAGTGTATAACATGCTGCTTCCAAGAGTGCTTATTACTTCTTTTATTCCAGGATATAAACAACCGTAAACTCTGGTAATCTGCATTCATTTACACTGCACCTGTTCTTGCATAGTATTTCACATATATTGCTTTCTTTATCCCCTCCTCACCTCCTTTTCAGGTTCAGCAGATAGAACTGTCAAATTTTGGGACCTTGAAACCTTCGAGCTAATTGGCTCTGCTGGACCTGAGGTGCTGTATACCTCTTGAATACATCTCTTGGCTCTTAATTTGTAAAAGTATTGGTCCATAATATCGCCAAGAAATTAAGATTTTCATGATTTTCTTTCTATTAAGGAGATTATCTATCTAATTTCTAGTTTCTAACAGACAACTGGAGTGCGTTCTTTGACTTTTAGCCCTGATGGGAGAGCCCTACTCTGTGGATTGCATGAAAGTTTAAAGGCAAGCTCATATAATCCTTCATAATAATCAGGATTATCAGATACGCATACTTAATAGTTTTACTGCATAGGTTTTCTCGTGGGAGCCAATAAGGTGCCATGATGCTGTGGAGGTGGGATGGTCTCGATTGTCAGATCTTAATGTTCATGAGGGAAAGCTTCTTGGATGCTCTTACAATCAGAGTTGTGTTGGAGTGTGGGTTGTAGACATCTCGGTATTATTCAGTTTATCTTTGTTCTTGGAGTGTTTTCTTGGTTTCTAGCCCTGGTGGTATTAACTATTGATTTAAAACTTATCTGTTGCTTGGTTAGCGCATTGAACCGTATGCAATTGGTAATGCCAGCAGATTGAGTGGGCATTCAGAATCTAAATCATTGTCTGGTGGGAATCTCTCTGTGCTCAATGAGATCGCTGCTAAATCTAGTTTGGGCCGGTTGTCTGTTTCACAAAATTCAGATTCTTTAGTGAAGGAAACAAAATCTCTTGGAAGGTTATCAGTTTCTCAGAATTCAGATCTCGTTAAGGAGCCAAAAATTATTGCATGTAGGCAAATTATTAGCCTTTTTTTAAATTTAATTTTTGCTGTGTTGCTGGGATTCTCAGATTTGTTTTATCACAGATCTTATCTTAGCTTTTTCACATTTCTTTATGTTATTACTTCATTCTGATGTTGACTGTTTAATGCCTGATTATCCTCTGAATGAAGCCACAGGAATTGTTCCTGGTGCTCCTCAAAGGATCAATATGAATTCCAGTCCAAAAACTATTGTGGCTAGTTCAGTGGCAGTTCCTAATGCATCAACCCTGAAGAGGAGTTCTACTAAGACCCATTCAACAGCTAATATTCCAACTTTTAACAAGTCTGATGTCATACCTGTAATTGTGCCAAGAACTAGTATGAGGTCAGAGCTGTCATCTGAGTCTAGAAAAGAGGTTAGCGTTGCTGGAAGACCACTGGCATTTTCTTTGCAGTCAAAGGCAACTGATTTCCGGAAGTTGTCCAATAGCAGAGAAGAAGTGGATAAGCCAGCTGTCTCTTCGGTGTCTGAATCCCCTGCTTCTAAGGCTATTGAATTAAGCAGTGCTGCAGATAAGAATGGCTTCTCAACAGTTTTAAGTTCAACTCAGGGAATACATGCTGAAAAGAACACAAAAGATGATATATATTTTGGACCTGGGAAGCATGAAACTAGTTCAATGATGGTGCCAACTGCAAGTTACCAGCATGAAAGTTGTATGTATCTAATCTTTAGTAGAACGCTTTCCCCTCATCCAATATATTCAATATATCGCCATTTAGTCTAATTTTGGATCTTGATTCTTGGGGTGGTTGTCAATTTTGGTATATATCTTATCTCAGTTTACTTATGCTTTTGAAGATGTTTATACATCAATGACGTGTCTATACGTGAGCCATAATATTGTAAGTCTGATGGATTTTCTAGTCTCTGCTACACAAGCCTTGGATATGTTAACACTTGAGATTATATTGATATTTTAAATATCTTTATTGGCAGAATATTTTAAATATTAGATTTATAATATCAGCTGCTCAAGCCTTCATGTGTGTGTGAGTTGGGGAGGTCGCCCTCCCCTCTGCCTGACCCCCTACTTGAATAATCGCTTTGTTGTACCAAAGTAATGTTGTGGCCATTTAAGTTTCTTGCATTATTTTGGAAATAAACAGTTTTCATATCAGTTGCAAAGGTTGTACAAGGCTGGTTGAATGAACCAATCATACAGTAGAACCACAAGCCATCTTATCTCCTTAAATCATCGGTAATCATTATTCCACATAGGTATTTATCAGATAGTCACCCAAGGAAGGCCTTCTCACTAGTGTGAAATCAAAGCAGATGGAGGTGTGATCATGAAAACCATAGTAAGAAATTAACCCTCTGAGGATGGTATTGCCAACCAAGGGAATGGGAAAATTCCTTACTCTGAAAATGGATTCTCTGGCGCATTTCTAATGGCTGTTATCAGAACATTTGTATGTTTTGCATATTCATTGCTGTCATTTGCCATGTGTTTTAATTTGGTCTCTCTATTGTATAGTATTGTATTCTATATTATCTTTAATGTTTTCTTTAATGATTGATGGCCTTTTACATGTGGGTTTGTCTATCTTTTATATACCCTTGAGACTGAGTGTCATATTGTCAAACCTTAAGCTACTATTTCTTTTTTCACCTTTCTTTCTTTTTTTTTGTTATTAAGATGAGGCTCCAGGGCACAAGGTGAGCAGAGAAGCATTTTCTGCTGAAGGTCAAAGAGGAGGTATAGGTCTTTTGCTTGTGTGTCATTTATATGACTAGTCTAGTGAAGTATGACCCAAGCTCTATATGGTATATCTAGGGAGATTGCACTCAATTGCTGTAAATTGGGAGAAAAGAGATAGATATTCTAACTACGAGGGACCTACTTCCAATGGTACCCTGGGAACAGCGTCTGCACCAAATATTATCCCTTTAAATGCGGTATGGCTACATCTTTGTTCTGCCTTTTTGTGCCATCTTTCTTTCTTGATACGCATCACAAATTGCACTTAAGAAAATGACATGGGAATACTCTGTCATTTTAAAAAAAAATGGCATTCAAGTTTTTAACCATGAGTTACACTTAATTGCAAATTGTGCCCAATTCTCAATGTACTTTTCTTTCCCCATAATGTCATGACATGAGGACTGACTGGAACCATGGATAGATCACTGTAGTAAAGACCATGGAACTGTATAAGATTTATTATTTTCTCATGTTAACTACTGGATGGTGTTTCATTTTGGTGGGCAAAAATTGTAACCAATACCATCTTCTTTTGGTTTGAAGTTTAAGCAGCGAGGTTATCCTACATCTACTGAAAAAGAAACAGTGTCTGCTAGTGATGAGGATGCTATTGCAGATCTCCTGGAAAAACACGATAAATTTGTTGGCTCCATGCAATCTCGTGTTGCCAAATTACAGGTTATATTTATTGGTTTTTGGACTCTTTTTAAGTTTTTATGTGGTGCTATTGTGTTCTATATGCATCTTTTCTTCCTTTACATGAATTTCGAGCATCATTAAGTTGATGGGAGCTCAATGCTTGTTAATTGGGGTTGCCAATAATGCTTAGGTCGACTATCTTTCAATAATTCATTGCATCCCATTTGTCTTCATAGAATTTCTTGAGCTTTTTTTCTTTCTGTTTGCATCTTAGTAGCCACAAAATGCAAGATTTTTTTAATGTTTTTTTGTAGCAGTTCTATCAGTGGTTTTTTTTTTTTTTTTTTTTTTTTTTTTTTTTTTGTGTGTTAGCAGTGTTTGGAATGGCAGATAAGGTTGGGGATAGATAGGGGCCCAGGATTTGGGTTAGGTTCCAAAATCATGGTTCCAAGTAGGAAGTTATATAAGAACTGCTGAGCTGCAAGCCTGCAATGAGGAACTACCAATCAGTGCTCAGTTACAATAATAAGACAATATTCGGGCGAATACTTTTAACTATCAACCAATAAGTTGATGAATGTTGTTGGTCTTTGCAGGTAGTCTATAGATATTGGGAAAGGAATGATGTTAAGGGGGTCCTTGGTGCAATGGAGAAGATGGCTGATCATGCTGTAAGTATATCCTGCAGTACTGTCTTAATTTAGTTTTTCTTGAGCCCTTAGTTTCTAGATACTATTGAACGTGGAGCACATCCCTTATAGTTATTTTATAGAACTACAGTTTATGTGTAATGTTTTTGCTTTTAATCCAGGTCATTGCGGATGTAGTCAGCATTATGACACAAAAAATTGATATTGTCACACTGGATATATGCACTTACCTTCTGCCACTCCTCACTGGCCTTCTAGAAAGTAACATGGATAGGTAAGAAGTTTTAGCAGTATCTTCCTTTTAAACAGCTTCTAGACACTTTACTTTGTATATTCATTTTGAGTTTTAGTTCTAGAAAGTAACTGTTCATATAATCTGAGCCATCTTAAAACAATAAAATTTGCCTGTTGTCATTTTCTATTGTTCTATCGCATAAGGAGGCTCACCATATCATAGATGTCCTCTGCTCCCCCAATATTTTCTCAACGCTATGCATACACAGAAGTATCATCCATTCATTTGTTTAGTTATAATTTGCTGTGGATTTCTGAGCATGCCGCACTTTTGGGTTTGAAATTGGAAAAGCTGTTGCAAGTTCTGTATGGGAAACCAGTCTCATATTTCTTTTAACTTAATATGCTTTGTGCCTTTGAAGTGATATATTTTCAATCATTTCTTTTAGGAGTGAGGCTTTGCCACTACATTAGCCTTGTTTTTCCTTAATATGGAAGGCCATGTGGATTTCTGGTGCACTATGGGCACCATATTCACAGGTTGGATATGAATGAAATGTGTGACATGCCATCTGTTGCCCATAAAATTTCACTAACGAGAACAATTGTTAGGAAATCAAGAAAAAAAGGCGGGGTAGGGTGTTGGTGGCTGTGAAAGAGTGGCCTCCAATAGCAATTTTCCGGTGTTGGATGGATGTTACCTGGGTGAAGTATATTTTATGACCCTAGATCCGGTTGCTTCGTGGTAGAATGACACACCCCTTGTGGTAGTCAAGCAGAATTTGATATGCAATAATAACATTCGTGATTAGCAAATAAAATAGCAACGTCCTTACTAGGTTTTGTGATTGGGATCTTTCATCTGCAATTTCGATGCTCATTATTTGACGGGCCTGATCTTTATTCAGGCATTTAGGCATTTCTTTGGAAATGCTGCTCAAGCTGGTTAGAGTGTTTGGTTCTGTGATCTATTCAGCAATATCTGCGTCGTCATCTGTTGGTGTTGATATTGAAGCCGAGAAAAGGTATGCTTTTTATTGTTCTGATATACATTTTTCTTTACCTTATATCTTAAGATTTAAGCATGATCAGATTTGAGGTGGCTATGTATTTTGAAATGGTTGCCCTAGGCTGGAGCGCTGCAACATCTGTTTTGTGGAGCTTGAAAAGGTCAAATGCTGTTTGCCGGCTCTAACCAGGTGCCTTTTTTTCTTTAGTTTACTTCAATCGGGGTCTTTTTCTGTCTCCTCATTTTAATTAATTATGTCGGAGATGCCAATATCCTTTTGTTCATTCATTTTTAACCATAGAAGAGGAGGATCAATTGCAAAGGCTGCACAGGAGTTGAATTTAGCTCTTCAGGAAGTTTCATGACGGAAAAAGTGTGCATAGTGAAAGTGCAGTTTGGAGGGAGTTTGTGCATTTTGGAGTAATGAACCCCTCCTCTTCTTGCAACACCGCTATGATGGTTCAATGCTCTCTGTGTTGTGTGGCCTGGCCGACTCGGGCAGTCCCTGGTTGTACATTAGTGCTAAGTGGAGATATTAACTACAAGCTAATTCTATACTATTCGCTAAAACGAGAGGCTAATTGTCGACATGTCGCTCTACGTCCTGTTTGCACAGTTTTGGGAACTTCCAATCCATTTCTGCTCAGCGAAAGAGATCACTGCTCCACTCCGTTCACCATTTACCATGTTCTGCTCAGCGAAAGAGATCACTGCTCCACTCCGTTTCACTATTAACCCAACATGGTAGCATCAAATTGGTTCTTCTTTTTTTTCGTTAATCTGATGATCAAATTGTATCCTTTGGCTGCATTAACAATTATTTAAGCGTATGTTATATTTTGCACCTTCAAATTTGGGTGCAATGACAATCTCATACCTTATCTTTACAAGATTGCAATGTCATACACAAACTTGTGTTTTAGTTATAGTCTCATATCTGTTAATCAATTTGCCAATTTGACAGTTAAATAATGTGTCAACTAGGAATCTCAAATTTTTATTGATATAAATATCAAATTTGTTCCACATAAAAAAAAAAAAAATCAATTAAAATCATTTGGCCCATTTGGTTGAACTAATCATTCCCACTGCAGTCGACGACACCGTGGTGTTGGGTTTTTCGAACCCATGATGAGTTTTAGATCTATTAGGAATTATAGATAGGATTTAGTGGGTTTCCCAATTGGAGTTGTTTTTCCAATTGGATTGGTTTTTCCAATTGAAGTTGTTTCCCCACCTAAGCTTGAACCTAACTGGAGTGTTCTCCCCCCTTAGCAATCATTAGTTCATTCTATCAGGAAAACTAAGGCAAACGATTGAAGAAGAAAAATAGTCTCTGTGCCCATGAAAACAAGGAGGCAAAACAATTTGTTTCGAGATTTGTTGTTGTATTATTTCATTCGTACCAAACCTTTGTCAGCTGCATCAACGCGAATGCGACTCTATCTAGCAGGAGGTTAGGCAGGCTAACCAACAAGAAAACTCTACCGCATATTGCTCAATGCTCAAGAGAAATAATAATATTAGATTGATCCATGTAAATGTGATTAAATACATACATTCAAGTGCAGTTGCAGTTTATTTGAAGCCAGATGAATCAACATCTTTTATAATTTTTATTTGATATATAATGTGTGAGGTGAGAGAGAGATTGATATATATGGATCGAACTAACCGAAATTGATCAAAGATATTCGAACTCATCCTCCTTGAGATGGGCGAAGAACTTAACGGCGCCACGGCCTTGAACATCGACGACGAACTGCACCTTATAAGGGAGATTGGCCGAAATCCGCTTGCCCTTCCACAGCCCAACGTACTGCTTGAGCTCACCTTCCATGCCAGTAATGTCCACCTCCGGAACTCTGGGCACGTGGTACACCTTCAGAGGCACCTTCACCCTAACCCTAGCTCCTATTTTGGAGAAGGCGGTGGCGGCGGGTTCATCTGATGATGTTGATGGAGAGACATCGGCGGCAGCAACCTCGCAAATAACCCTTCTACTTAATTTCCTCCTCCACGGGCAGTGGGTGAGAGCGGTGGGAGTGAGTTTGTGATGTGGAAATGAAACTGCCCAACAAGAAGGGAAAGAGAACGAGAACGATTTCAGCTGTCCCGCATCTGCTGCTGCCCTTAGGGATGAATTGAGGGATGAAGAGGCGGCAGCTGCTGCCACTGTTGCTATACCCATCGCTCCTGTGTCCGTCTGTCTATCTTTCCCTTATCTAATAAATCCCTCTCGGTGAACGCACACCCAGTCTTTATTTTCTTAGGGCTATCTCTCAACTCAATCTCCAAACCCCATATGCCCCACACCAAAATTCTTGGAATTTGGCCAAAAGTGGACCCTTCTGTCAAGACCAATCTGATATAACCACAACTATTGAGTAATTGCAAAAAAAGCTCCTCATTTAAGGTCAATCTGCAATTTACCAAAAACGCTTCTCTCTGCAACTACGCATATCAACCCTTCCAACTACCAGAGACCACGCTAGCCACCGGCCACCCCATCAAACTACTCTCATTATTCGAGTCATCACACCCGCCTTCAACCCACAGACCAAACCTAGCAAGAAATTCTAGTTGAAATTGCTCAGCTTCCCTTTGTCCATTGTGTTGTATGGTTTGTAAAAGTTGTGTTTGATTATATGCGCATCAAACTATCAATCAGGTGGGTCAATTTAGTTAATTACACTAACACCTCATTAGAATTATTGAGTTTTTACAAAAAAAACCATCACATTTGAGATATTATAATAATGCCCCCATCAGATCCAATCCCATAGCTTACCCGACTCGATTCATATGTTTTCCAGCTTTGCAGCTAAATTGGTATATTGGTTGAAAGTTTTTTAGTTTGGTTTGAGACCACATTTTTTAAAATTTTTTTTTTTTTTTTTTTTTTAGCGACTCTCCTCTAGCTACCTTGTATTATACATCTCTTACCACCAGTCATTCTCCACCTCCACGCCCATGCTCTTCACTGCTGCAAGCATTCGTTGCTCCCCTTATTCAACTATGCAGCATCTCGACGCCTAGGGATGGATCCATAAATTTAGTCTTGGACTCTAGAAGCTTTATTTGATGGAGACACATGTCGCATTGTAATTGATCTCCTGGTTGGAGAAAAACTGTCATGCTTCGGTAGGGGCGCCTCAACACGAATCCTTTAGTGAGTTTCTAAAAGTATATAATTGATTGGTGCTCGCCAGTTTCGAGATTGGTGAAGTAAAGTACAAACACAATTAACCACTCACAATTCAAAAACACATAAGATGACACGCCCCAACCCTAATATCCTCACATACCAGGGTAGGCATGTGCTGACCGACACCTGAGTATCACGAAGCCATTTTAAACACACATATAACTAAAAGATGTATAATTAGAACGATTATACCAAAGCAGGAACGTGTTGAGGTGCCCCTATCGAAGAATTACTATAAAAAAGATACGAAAATGGGAATGATACCTACACTAAGAAGACTCGAGGATGCCTATGCCGTAGTGTCCTGACATCGGGATCATGTGCCTCGATCCTAACTCCTAAGGGGGCGCAAAAACAGAAAAGATGAGTGGACCATAATTTATAATAATAGTAATAGTACGAAAACCAATTTTTTTTAGAATATACTAACCCCTTGTTTTGAAAACACATATATAATACTACATAATAGGTTTTATAAAAACCCTAGCATGCCATGTAAAACATTCGTCAAACATGTACATCTAAAACCATGCTTATTAATGCTGAAAACAGTATTGCCTGAAGGCAAATCCGTGAATCTCATCGATGATGTACTCAACTAGGGGTATCATAGTCGCCTGAAGGCAAGTACCTATCCATCACCCGAAGGTGAAGCTGAATAACCTGTCCATCACCTAAAGGTGTAGCTGAATAACCTGTCCATAACCTGAAGGTGAAGCTGTATAAAATAGCATACATCCACACCGACACTAGCTGTGGCTAGTGAAGCTATCTGACACTGCTTTCAGCAGTGAAGCTATGAGTTATATAATATATCATATCTCACTCCTCCATCATCTGTGTCTTATGGCCATATACATCTATACTCGTGGTGTGCGAATGTGCCGTATGATAACCCACTAGGTAAGTACCAAAAACATATCTCAAAATTTCATGTCAAAACCAAAGCTCATCAAAACTTAAAGCGTCATTTCATGAATCCATAATATAAATCATGATCGATAGCCACATAATTTGTATATGTAAATCCATAATTCATCACCTTTAGTGAAATGTAGGTTCAATAAATAATAACCTTCGTAAAAATAATTTAAATAATTCTTAATTTCTCTTAAACCATAAATATAGAAATCTATAGAGGCATAATATAAATCCATAATATAAATCACATTCAAATCGTGAAATAGATCATGCATGCTAGGCTAATATTTATAAAACATATAGTTTAAGAAGGGGTCCACTCACAGTTTTTATTGCCTGAGACGAGAACCGCTTGAACTAGCAAGGATGACGTCGCTTCCCGCCAACGTGCCTAAACACAATTAGGGACCATTTAGTAAAACTTTACTAAAACATTATAATTTTGGAAAATGGACGGCAGATTTGGATTCGGCATGTCGAAAAACCTAAGGAGGGACATCAGGTTTCTCCCCCACGCGATGCCTCACGTGGCGGCCGACCGCTTTTATTCGCCAGAAAATCGAACAACTCCAAAAATTTCAAAATTTTACAGGAATGAAGATCTCAATAAGAGGAACAACTTTCATACTTGTGACTAAGGCCAATTTGGCTGGAAAAAACTCCAATTTCCCTCGAACCAGCCGGAAACCTTAGAAATGGGTGGCTTCGATTCGTCACCTCCGGTGCTCCACCACCCCTACAATTGTTTGGGCTTTGTTCCTGGCCTCTAGAGGAGTGTTTTGGTGGTGGTAATTGAAGGAGTTAGCTTCAGAATTTAAGGAATCGTTGCATGAACTCGTCACACCCACCAATAGTTCTTCACCAATTTACAACCAAATTTCTTCTAATTTTGGGTGGAAATAGAAAAGGGAAGGCTAGGGAGTTGTTTCCAGGTGGAGATTTGCCTCGATTGGCCGTGAAACGTCATGACTGGCGTTGGGTTTGCATACCACTGTCGGGTTGAGTCGATGGCTACCTGGTTCTCATATTTTCTTCTTCTCTCATTTCCCCTCCTTTCTCTTTTCTAATTGGTCACTTTCTTTCCTTTCCCCTCTTCTGATTGGTCGAGCCCTCTCCCCTCTTCTCCTTTTCTTTTTCTCTCTTCCGTTCATCTCTCTTATTTCTCTCATTTACTCATCATTACAATCGTCCACGTGGCTCAATCAGATTGCTTCAGAAAATTTAGAGCCTTATAGAGTGAAGGTTAAATTTACTAAAATACCCCTGACTTTAAACGTTAATAACTCCTTCGTTATAACTCCAAATTACATTCTGTTTGCTCATACGCATTCATAGTGACGAGTATTACGAGGATGCACCAAGAAAATAGTTCTTACATGACACGATAAAGTGGTCAATAAAAGTGTATTTGCCTCGAAGGGTATTTTCATAATTTCACATTTTAAAATTATAAAAATCGTAATAATTGGGAACGGGTCGTTACATAAAACTCATATTCAATTATAAAAAAAATTGAAATACATACCCAAACAATGTGATTAAGGATTGAAATTGAAAATACATACTTATTCTTGTTTATATTTTCTTGTTGGTGGGTAGATCTTGGTAATGGTAGTGTAAAAAGGATTGAGAAAGGTAGTGGAGATGGATAATTTTGAGCGTGGATAAAGTGAAATATTGTTTAAATGGAGGAAATAAGGGAAGAATTGTCACACTTTGATCCCAACATACGTCTAGGATCAACGTATGATGTTGATTGTAGGGGTGTGAGGAAATACAACGAAAAAATTTAATGGAATACTGAAATTGAAACTCACAATGATTACAACAATTGTACAACAAAATGTTAATAACCCTCAATAGGGCCAAGATATGCCTGTAAGCTCCCAAAATAAAGTCTCAAAAGAAATACAGGGAAAGATAGCAGGGTAACCTAAGCACTCTAGGCTCTTTGAACTTTAACTGATACCCCAGAAGTTCCTCGTATCAACTAATACCTGTCACTGGCATAATCACCCATACACCATAGGAATGGTGCATAAGGAAAAGTAACAAACTGGGATACACTGTGAAGCTCGTGTGAGTAACAATAATTCGACGTATGTGATAATCATAAAACCAATCTATCAATCACACTTTATAAACAGTATTCATAAAATCATACTTTATAAAATCATAATCAAACTATTGAAAATCCCAAATGAGTCACACGTACATCCATCGGCCTATCTAAATCAAACCACAAAGGTTCTTAATATTCGTTCATAAATGCTCTGAAAACTAGGGATAAATTGACACAATTCGGCCTAAGCCTGCATCTCCTAAGCTTCCACATTCTAGACTAATTCCAAGGAATCAACGAACCAACAAAGATAAGGGATGCAATTTCGGACCACTCAACGAAATTCAACAAAGAGTGGGTTCCGGACCACTAAACGGAATCGAATACAAAGAGAGAATCCGAACATGATACAATTCAGGACCGCTTAACGTAATGGCGGAGTATGAGAGATTCTTGACCAGTCAACGGAATCTAAACGAAGACAGATAAATGAAATCCATACCACTCAACAAAATCCAGACCACTAAACGGAATCCAGATAGAGCAGGGCACCAGACCACTCAACTGAACCTCAGTGGAACCCGTTTTCAGACCACTCTACGGAACCGAGCAAAATAAAAGAAAACATAGTTTGAAAAGGCTTAACGAGGCAAGACATGACAATTTCTATGTGACAACACCCATAATAATAGGTTAATGATCCTCTACTAGCCCTAACGTTTGGCAAACATTTCAAATCACATTTCATAAAAATAAATTGATGGTATAATTTAAAAGTAACAATTTAATAATAAAACAAATTTTATAAAAAAATTCCGTATCCACAAAGTATACTATCATAAGGATTTTTGGGGTAATCACTGATACCACATATATTAAAGGCACTCACCCAGAGTCCATGCTATGGCTCCTAGTACAAATATTGAGGCGTCCATGTACGATCGTCGCCTAGAACAAATCACAAGTCTCGTCTAAGAACTTTAGCTATAAAACACATAATTTT